ATGTTAAAATATCAATCCTTTGGACTTTTATGATAGGTAAATCCTATCAAAAGATTGATATTGAGGATTGATGAACGAAATCTTAATCTCCATTTACCGAGCCGATTTTGGTATGAACGAAAATTCGGAATTTCATTTTATGGTAGACCCCCAGTATATTCAAAGCCAATAATCGACTTTTACTAATAATCGACTTTGACTCAATAGAAAAATACGTGAATTTATTAGTCTAGAAAAACGTAGTGTTTTATTGACAATGCGTATTATATTTACTAGTGTCTTCTGAAGCAAATACAGCATATTTTTCAGCTTGTATTCAACGAAAAAATTCACAATCGATTATGATAGGCACGATTCATTTTAAAAAACTACCTTCCTAATTATGAAATCCAAAAGAATTGTCACAAAAGTGTTTTTATTGCCGTCGCAGATACACGCATTCCTTTTCAAATTACACAGAGTAATACCTAATTAAGTAGTAACTTAAGTAAATCGCTTCCACGAGCTGGTGTCATAAAAAATTTGGCACTTACACACATAGTCCTGCACCTCATTTTTCTACAAGATTAAAAAAATATTGCGCCCTTGAGATAATTTCTAAATTTGAATTATTTGCTAAAAGCCATCATAGATTTAGAATAGCACTGTAGGCACTATACCTAATCTATGCTAAGAACATTAGTCTTGGTATTTAAAAAAATATTTTCGTATAACTTTTTTTCACTAAATAGACAACAGCTGTATCCGCTGTGTCTATGATATAATTTTATTAGAAATTGCCACTAACAAAATAGAGATATAGCTAATCATATTCACCGAATATAGTTATTTTAATTTTTTTTTTAAATTCTGACTCTTTTAAATATTTTTACCCCGTTTTTTGTTCCTCGCACCCGCCAATTTTGTTTCTATTACTCATATATTCATTATATATTATATAGGCATATAATTTTTCACGAACATAGTTTTAGTGTAGCTATATTAAAAAAGTAAAAGTACTGTGATAAATAAGCAAATATCTATACAATTTCCATTCTTTATTTTACTTTTACGATACGAGCACGCATTTATTTTTTTAATATCATTTGAAATGACAAACAGGCTGACACAACCCTGTTCGCGGAAAGTGATTAACATTTAAGCTTGGCAGCATGGTTTCTGACCTAAGCCTGTTCTCTTCTTTAAAATGAATACAGCCATGCTAGCATAACTACTAGTGGGTAGGATTATACAGTTGATTTTTAGAGTTACATTCTCAAGCACTTTAAAAAATAAAATAAAAGAATGGAAAAAATATAGTACCCTATATATTTTACTTATTGGTGTTAAAAAATTGGAAAAACTCGACTAACGTAGTGACACGATCACAAAACGCCGTGAACATAGCTTCGAGTTCCGTCCTAAAGGTTTTTTTTTTAATCAATATAATTTATAGTGATGAGCATTATTTTCAATTAATCTATATAATCGATTAAATTCATCGACTTAACTTTAGTTCCTTTTTTTATTCTAAATGCTAGATTTTATGACGACTCTTCTGTTATTCGACTAAATAATAATTTGACATTAGTCATAATGACTGGATGCTAAACTCGTTCTAGAGGAATGCAACGTTGAACTGTGCTGAGGCATACTTGTGGATGTGGCGGGAAGCCGGGCATTAGCCGATTGCTTTTCCTGTTCTTCTAATTGGGCTGCGAATTCCTCCTCCAATGCCTGTTGAAATATACAAAAAGAATATTTGTCTATGGTGCAAAAAAATTTTTTTTGTTTAGTAAACAAATAATATTTACGAAATTAATTTTCAGTTATTTAAAATTGCACCATATATGTAACTGAACATCTGAAATATTCATTTAAAATTTAAAGATTTAATGCGATATAATAAAGGTAAAAAAAAAATAGATTTATATTTTTAATTGGTACTTTCAGTTGTTCAGTCACTTATATACCTGGCTGATTACTCTTTGCTCATTCCATTTATAAAAAGTAATGTAGTAAGTTGACAAAATTTAGGGCATGTTTTTTTTTTTAATATAACTTCATAAGCGTCGTTACTTGAACCTGTGAGTTGTCTGAACTCATTATTGATAGAAATTTTACTGGTCCCTAGTGGGCATAGATTTATTGTCTATTAAGTTTATAAATTTCTAACTGTACAGCCATTGAAAACATGGTTATGAAAATAAATTAGTCTGAGTTACGGCGGGAGGCTCTCTCCTCACACGTTGAATACAAATATGTGGGTAAGTCGAGCGTTATTTATTATTTATTTATTACATCCTCTGGGTGAGCCTTACTGTCTTCCAATACGCTCACCCATGAATATATTCACCAGCTCGGTAAGTTGGCAAATGCCTCAAACGATCACATCTTTACTCACTCGCACAGAGCAAGATAGACAATGAAGTCTCTTAAATGGCCGCAGTTAACTCAAATACTCTGATATAAGATTAGGGGAAAGGGATTATGAGGTCTAACCGGCCCATTGCTAGCAATATATATCAGGTCGATCTCCTCTTGATTGCTACTGGAAACTATCGTGATTTATTGTTAAATTTGACACGATGGGCTGATTGATTCGCTTCATCTTCACCTATCATCCTTCACTGGTGTCCCGCCGGTGTATACCGTGGCGTTTGCGGAGTTACCGTGGAATGTTATAATGGGATTATCATACATTAAAAAAATATACTAATATGAAGCGACATCTGCCGCGTTTAACTTATGACTAGGCTGTATAGGCCATGCTCTTTGCCTGTCCATTTAGGACGAATTTAAAAACGACAACAATTTGATTTGCCGCCATTTTTCCTATGCATTTCAAATGCCCAATTCTGCCAACTGTACAATGAACCATGCGGTTTAGTGCGTTCTAAAAACAAACACCGTGTGAGATAGAAAAACAACATACCATGCAGTCGATCCGGCGGTCTGTACGCTGTTAGAAGCCTTGGCGCCTTCGTTAGGAAGCACATGCAGTAGGTAACAGACATGAGTATGTACTCATGCACAGTATACAATATATATATATATATATATATATATATATATATATATATATATATATATATATATATATATATATATATATATATATATATAATTATACTAGGCATGGGTAATATGGATACCGATCCGATATCTATATATTGTGTTCCTTTAGACATTAATGGCAAGAAAAATCCCATTTTGATATAGCATATATCAATCGGATATCTATTTTCGAATATATTAAAAGTCTGTTATCCATTAGTATTGTTTTGCATAAGATACTTTTAGCATATTCATTATTGCACCAGTATATAGATATTATAACTAAAACATATAGATATTGCTATATATTACCCATACCTAATATATACAGTATGGATATAGGATACAGTTTGTGTTCAAATGACCAATGATATGGACATCTGCAAGATAATACCTAGTTCAGTGAAATATTTACAATCTGAAAGTGTTAAAATATGTTTAAATTGAATAGTAATAAATTTGGGGTCTAATGTACCTAACATGGATGGGCAATGACCTGGCCTTGACCCTTAAAAGCCTGATTTTTTAAATCAAATTTAAAAATATATAAGTGTACCCTTTACTGTGTTTACTAATGGGGAAAAATAGTAAAAAAAAAATCGACCGATATTTTTATATATTTATTTTGAAAAAAAAAAAACATTTGGTATAATTTTTGATACTTTAGGCATGACGGTAATCAAAACATTTAAATTTATTTAACAATGAAACAATGCAAACCCCGGTATCAAATTTGAAACTTCAGGCATTTAAGGTTTAAAATTGAAGTCCCCAAGAAAATTAGACAGATTCACTTTTTCGAAGTCAATTATGGCTTGTGCCCTACTTTAAACTCGGGTCTAGCTACGGCTTTGATTGTATCCATGACTCGGTGCCTCATAACACCTAGCTTGAGGAGCAGACGATTGGTATAAATGTATAGTACTTATTATTCAAAATTCAAAAATCATTTATTCATGTAGGACATTTTAGCCGCTTATGAACGTCAAATTTTTACATTATAATTTTATTTTTTTCCCTACCGTCCAGTTCGGTATATAGATCCAACTGAGAAGAACTGGCAAGAAACTCAATTGAATTACTTTTTTTTTAAAGCCAGTTTATTTACAATGTATATTTATATAGGTGTCTATGTCTAACATTAAATGAAAATTCAGTGCATGAACAACTATTGCCATGCACACTCGTCATTCAAGTAATCGTTTAGTGAGTAATAGGCTTTGCTCTTTATTTATTACTTATTTATTTAATTTAAATAACATTATTGACCGAATACATTGCCGTGTGGTCCCGGCATAGAATGAGCCACCCCTTCCTTTCCCGTGGCTGTCATAAGAGGCGAGTAAGGGAACTTAAGCCCACTTAAAACATAAAGTCTAACTATGGTTCCAACTTCAAACCCGCCTGCCAAGTGTAGCAACTATTGGCAAAACCCTCACTTATGGTATACTCTATATTCAGCAACGTCAACAATGACAATGATGTCAACGTCAGCAATGACAGTTAACGACTGATTTTTTTTATTGGATGAAAATAAAATGATAACCCCGCCTGCGCTAACGGGATACGCTGACGGAGCACCAGTGAAGGGTGATAGATGAGAATGAAAACAGGCCAGTTAGCCCATCATGATGAATTCATCAGGAATTAACCACGATAGTTTCCAGGGGGAACCGCGAGGAGGTCGACCTGGTTGGGTATATTGCTAGCAATGGGATTCTCAGTCTCCATTACTAATAATCCCTTTCCCCCCAGTCAGCTATCGTTGCGCTCAACCATATTTTAGGATCCTCAACGACCCGCTCCACCACGTCACTATTCAGAACTCAATCGTTTGTTTGGGTGTTTAATGTGCTTTGTTTAGGCATCCTATCCTCGCTACTGGACACTGGTGACGGGATGCCTTTGATGAAGGGTGGCACTGTATTAATCAGGGGAAGTGTTTAGTAATGAAAGCAGTATCATTTATAAATGTAACAGTTTATTTACATATAATATATGTAGGTACATGTTCCTGCGGTTAAGTTATACGCCTTAGGTACGATTGGAATGTCAAAAACAATAAATTATATACAAACAATTTTGTATTTAAACTAATTTTGTCTTTTTGTTGCTAAACAAGGCATAAATTAGCGAGTACTTAAAATAATGTTGCAATAAACAAATAACTGTTAATAGTTGTATAAGTATACGTTATTTTTTTTTTTTTATATAATAGCAACCCGATTAACTTACACGTATTTTAGTCGAGAAACTACCGACTAGTTCCGGGACCATCCGGGACCTTAGTCATGAGTAGACGTTTTAATATTAAAATATAATTTTTGAAGTTTCAGAAAAATCGAGTAATATTTTTTTTCTCTAATTAAATATTACAATTATTAATCGAAATGTAAGTTTTAAAAACTATTCTCGTATAGAAATATCAAGTAAAATAGAATAGTTAATGAAAAGAAAAAAAAAAAAAAGAAAAATAAACACGATTTTTCAAAATTGAAAAAAAGATAAACTATTTACGAATAGATACATAATATTTATTACAACTAATTCTGTCTTTTTGTTTCGGAATAAAATGTTAACTTATCGAATAACACATATCTAACGGTTGGGTTTTTTTTATAAACTAAATAATTCAATGTTTGTTATTTAAAAGTAAACACGCTTCACTTTTTCCATTGCTGAACATAAGCCTTACCCAGGGGGAGGGGGGGGGAGGTTACCAGTAGTTGCCACGCTTGGCAGGCGGGTTGGCAACTAAATAAGGCCTTAGAGATGTTTTAAGAGGGACGCTGCTGCCCATCCCTCGCCCTCCCTTAGTCGCCTCTTACGACACATACGGGAAAGGAAGGGGTGGCCTATTCTATGCCGGGACCATACGGCAATTCATACTTCATACAATTACTAGCTGACAAACATTGCGTTTGAAAGATTGAGAGAGGCTTGTGGAGAGAGAGAGGCAGATGAATACGGCAGTTTGGGACCGCGAAGGAGAATGGTTGACTACCCGGCACGCGACCACCCCGCCTACCACGCACATAAACAAACAACAATTCATATATATGAAAAAAAAAACATAGCTATACACTATCTGACCTGGCAAACGTTGTACTGCCATATCAACATCTTCCTACCCTTATCCCAATCATTTTGGGGTCGGCGTAATATGATTTTAACCATATTACAAAAAGATTTGGTTTTTAGTTTTACGACCGGCCACCTGCCTGACGTCAACCCTCTTTGGGATATGTACGTTGTACTGCCATATGTTTTTCCTAATCACTTAGTGATATGACCTATTCCCATAGGTACCAAATATACATAAAAAAATTAAAAAAAAATCGGTTGAACCGTTTCGGAGGAGTCCGTCCAGAGACTCCATGACATATTTATATTTAAAAAAATTATAGCTTCTCGATAATTTTACTAACACTATTTTTATAAATAACGACATAAAATTATCTCAAAAATTAAATATAAAATAAAAAACAAGAAAAAGAAAATTATTTAACTGTATATATTTCTTTTTATACAACTTAGAATGGCAAACAAGCTGACGGCCCATCTGATAGAAAGTGGTAACCGTCGCCTATAGACATGAGCAGTACCGTGGACATAACAGAGTATACTGTTTCGCTCATGATACCCCCCATGCGTTGCCATTCCTGAGGACACTGACTTGACCTTATAAAGAAGTTAACATTTATAAATTTAATGGTCAAGGGATGGACAGCAGTATCCCTTTTAAAACATCACTAAAGCCTAACTGCGATTGCCAGGGGGGAAAGGGATTGTTAGTAATGGAACTTAGTAATCCTATTGCTAGTAATATACCAAACCAGGTCGACCTCCTCGCGGTTCCCCCTGGAAACTATCATGGTTAATTCCTAATGAATTCATCGTGATGGGCTAACTGGCCTGTTTTCATGCTCATGTATCACCCTTCACTGGTGCTCCGCCAGCGTATCCCGTTAGCGCAGGCGGGGTTACCATACCATTTTCACCCATAAAAAAAAACTGCGGTTGCCAACCCGCCTGCCTAGCGTGGCAAATGATGGCAAAACTCCCTCTTATAGGAGAGGCCTATGTTCAGCAGAGGACAGTTAAACTCTAATATGGTATACGGTAACAATTTATCAAAGTATATTTAGTTTATTATTAACCCAACTCCTAAAAAAAGAGCCAACTCTTAATGAGTGCTACGATACAACGACCAGTTTACAATTATTAAGTTTAATAAAAAAAAAAAAACTCTAAAGATGGTCCCATCACTCAGCTAAAATCAAAGTAGGGTTTTTATTTTAAATTTAAATATACACTATTAAATAACATAACATAACGCCATGTTATATTTTTGTATTAATACAAAACTAAATTGTTGACTTAAAAATAAACATACTTGTACAGACGTTACTTACTCCATAAGGGCAATAAAATGGTTTGTTTTGTTTTTAACCAAATAGTTCAAGTCAATGGTTTAATTGTTTAACAATCTAATCTGTAATAAAACAATATTGTTAATATTATTGTTTTTAACGTGGGGTTATGTGTGATAAGCATAATTGTAAGTTACATAAGTTAAGTTACATAAGTTATTACCTCTTATTTGTTTATAACTATTATATATTTAATATTAAAATAATATACAACGTAATAAACATATTTTTTTTTTTTTTTAGTTTTAAAGTAATTATATAATTAATTAAAATATTTTTATTTTTAAAGATATTTTATAAATTTGTAATAATTAAAAAAAATTAAATAAACAAAAAAAAAATAATAATGGCACACATTTCTAATGAAATGATTAATGTTGAACATTTTAATGTTCATTTTAAATATAAAATGTTAATACCACTTTCATTTAAATTTTTATATATTATTAATAAATGCAAATAAAGTATACTCATTAAATGTACTTTGAAAATTTGAAGAACAGATATGAGGGAAAAATAATCTTATTAAACTATTTAAAATACTTTCTTTTTAATTTTCATAAACAAGACAAATATACTACTGAAGTAAACTTAAAGAAAAAAAAAAAAAATATATATATATATATATATATATATATATATATATATATATATATATATATATATATATATATATAGCAATAAACTAAGTTGTGGCCATTTTGTATTGCTATGGCACACGCACAAACGAAAATTGTATTTAGCTTTATGTATTTTTTTTTTGTCATTTATGTTTTCGCTTTTTTTTTGTATATGTATGTTGTAATTTGTGTGCTGTAAGTAATGCAAATAAATTATCTATCCATCTATCTATATTTAGACATATAATAGAGACAGTAACAAAAAGTACTTTTTGGACAACAGAAAAAAAAATATGCTTACAATATATGAATATATCAAGTATTGCTTTATATTTCCTCTATTCAATAACGCACCGCCTACTTATTTCTCTGTTCGCCCAATGATCGACTGGTAGAGAACACCGTCGCGTGTTCAGTCCGCCATATGTACATAGAATTTTACTGTGCATTAAAGTTTAAATATTTTAATTAATTATATAATTAAAAAAAATATATCATAATATTAAAAAAAATATGCAATTTTACAAATATTAACACTATTATACATTTAAGGCTTTAAGGTTTTAGGCACATCGAATGTTTATAATCTAAAAACAATATAACAGCGCCCTCTGTGGGGCACGCGATGCGATAAATAGCAATTTAAACATAAGTATGGCCTACGTTCGATTTCGATATAGATCATTCACACCCAAGTGCTGCAACGTCGCAATTAAATGTCAATTCTCAAAATCAATTGAACAATTTCCGAGATTTTTGATTGGTTATTTAAAAAGTTCGGATTGTTCTTTATGGCGGTCTATGGGGAAAGCCTATTTATATGTCCAGCAGTGGACAGATGGCGGTTGAAATGTAAATGATGATTTAAACAGTGCTCTGCTACCAAACTAAAACGTCAATAATAGAATAAGTATGCATATAAACCTACCATTGAAAACTTTGCACCTACTACATATTCTCCTACGGAGTTTTTCAAACACATTATTATATTGCCATCAAAATGCAATTTTCAGTGACAGCTTTGTAAGAATGTTATTGCGTAATTAACGTTTCAGTTCTCAAACAGAGAATTTTCAATCGAAAACATTGAAAATTGTCAAATTATTGTTGATAATTGACAGCAAATTGCGGCGTTGCCACACTTCGGTATCAATGTTCTTTTCAGTTACAGTGAGTAATATATAGCAATATCTATATATTGTAGTTACTGTATCTACACATATATTGGCCCAATAATAGATATATTACATATCGTTTATTCAATATATAATATCGAAAAGAAGAACCCGCTCGTGATGAATATACGACTGGAATGGGCGATATCGCAATGGGTGGGCATCACTGGCTAGAAGAACTAAATACATAGATATTAGATATTACCCAACTATATTTTCTAATAAGAGCTCGCTTACTGCTTCACAATAGTCGATTGTGATAACAGTTATGTACAGTACTATATATGTATTACTCTAAGATATTTCAATAAATAAATATGACCTTTATCACCTAGTCTATAAAGTCTAAAACCTATTTGTTTCGCTGTCACCACAATGACTTTTATGGATTTTTTTCTTTTGGCGAAGACGATTGGCATAGCGTAGAGATGACATTAAATATTGTGACTTATTTCTATACACAAAGCGAACAATATTGTATAATATCTATAAATAGTATAAATTAAGTATTTATTGAGAATATTATTAAAAAATAAATATCTTTATAGGACATATCGCAACACACTAGTAGGACCATACATAACAACGCCATCTAGTTTAAAAATATGTAATTTTACATTCAGGGGCGCGTCACTTCGAGCAAAAAAGAAACGTACTGATGAAACCTATGCAACCTGTTCATTGTATTTAAAAATTTCACACTATAAAACGGCTCTAGCTCTTTTATGTGACACCTGTCAATAAGTCAGAGGTACATTACAAACACTTGTAAAATTCTACCGATATTAGAGGTGAGTAATATATAGTTATATATTGTAGACACAATATCACCTATATATAATATCGAATTGAAACACCTGATCGAAATTAATATAGATATCCGACTATTATTAGATATACCATACCATATCGAAATGGGTGATGACCTTTTCCCGCCATCAATATCTAGTCGAGGAACCCAATATATACATATTAGAACGGTGTCAATACTAGCCATCCGTAACGGATATTAATTTATTTTACTATGTTAAGACTTCTAGACGGTTGCATAGATTCATTTTCTAGTTTCGTCAATAAAACAGAAGTGTCGACTCCTAAACAACATAATAATTATTGCTATGTAACTACATAAACGTTTACTCGGCTGTCTTAGACGCGGTGTTATTAGACTATAAAATACATATACTTATACATATTTTAGTATCTTCTCTTATGCAACTTAGAATGGCAAACAAGCTGACGTCCCACCTGATGGACAGCGGTAACCATCGCCTGTACACTAGGGATGGGTAACATATAACAATATATTTACACAATAAATAATATATTAAATATCTGTTATCCAATATATATAATATCGAAATTAATACAGATATTCGACTGAAATGGATGATTGTCTTTTTTCCACTATCAGTGTCTAGAGCGGTGTTTCCCAACGTGGGGTCCACGCCCCACAGGAAATGGACTAAAAAATGGACTCGAAGCGATTTTAATCCTCTTGCTCCGGGCCATTTAAATGCAATGCTACGAGTAGATATCGGTGCAAAATTTAACAATTAAAGTAAATTAAAAAGAAATAAATGCTGTAAATATCTATTGGGTATAATTTCGTTTGACGTTACCAAAATATCAACTGGGCGATTAGAGTCGTCAAGTGAACTTTGTCGGGGACAATTATGTATGGGGGCATTAACATTTTAGAAATGTTCAAGTGGGGCGTGGCACGAAAAAGGTTAGGAAACACTGGTCTAGAGTAGCCCAATATATAGATATTATATATAGAACGGTAACGATATCACAGAATGCACTGCGACGTCCATGGTGCCCCTCATGCGTTACCATTCGTGATGCCAACTTATATTTCACTAATAAAACTTTTTAATACAAATTCCTACAACATGACAGCAAAGGGTATTCCTATATTGATGATTCCTAACTTAATTTGTAACTCTAATACTGCGAATGGAAGCGAAAGCTTTGGCGTTTTTTTGGAAGGCCATATTGTTGTATGTACGCTTGGAAATACAGTAACTGTGTTGATATATGTATACCGTTGACTGGTAGAGATTGCCATCAGGCATAAATGCCATAAATCTGCACCATGTAAACATATTTTTATGTGTATAAAAGTATACCAAAATAAATATATTAGGCCGCCTATTCTTTTCCCTTTGGACTAAGAGACTAAGAGAACATAACGTTCGAGGGATGGGCAGTAGCGTCCCTCTTAAAACATCACCAAAGCCTAACTGCGGTTGCTAAACCACCTGCCAAGATTGGCGTCTGCCCCCCCCACCCCTATGTTCAAAAGTGGACAATTAACAGCTAATATGATGATACCAATATGCTAATATAGTAAAATCGGAGGACTCCATTTGTACGCGCTAGCCTCTGGACCTACCAGTTGCATTTGAGAAATTATTTTTGCATTTTGATTTCTTGAAAACGAGTATAGGTTATACAACATCTAGACACAATCACGGGCGAAGCCGCGGTATAGAGTTAGTTACATATAAATAAATCTAGTGGTTTTCCAAACCTACATACAAAAATATTAGCATTTACATGATAATTGTGACACAAATCGTTTGCTGTGAGCAAATTTCCTTCGGTAAACCTATTTGCCAGTAACATTTCTAATACTAATTGATCAATTGCAAATAGATGGAGTATCCTCGAACAAACGCTTCAAAAAACAGCCCGACTCTTTTTTCAAAATCGTATTAGTCTTGAAATTTGTGACTTTTAGTATAATTACAACGAACCGTAAGAAAAAAATCAAACATAGGTTCCTCCAATCAGACCAAGTTTCTTAGATATGTATTAAAATATGTTACAAGATTTTTTTAAGAAATGAAATAACTGGACTATCAGTATACGCTGGCAAGATATCATTGAGGATATGAGGGATAATAAGTGAAGATGAAGCAGATCAGCTTCATTGGGATGAATTCATCAGAAATTAACCACGTTGTTTCCAGGAAGGAAAGCGTGGAGGATGTTACAAGAATATAAGGAAATATTCAGATAAAATAAAAAAAAAAAAAGTTTTAATCATTATTACAGTAATTTTTTGAAGTTTTTTTTTTATACAACTTAGAATGGCAAACAAGCTGACGGCCCACCTGATGGAAAGTGATAACCGTCGCCTATAGACATGAGCAGTACCATGGACATAACAGAGTACACTGTTGCGCCCATGATACCCCCATGCGTTGCCATTCCTGAGGACTCAGGTGTTATTCCACTGTACCCTGTAAATTCACGCCATATCCCACCCTTCAAACCGAAACACAGCCATGCAAACACAACTGCTTCACGGTAGAAACACGAATAGGACAGAGGTACCCAAGGGGCTAGTTTAATTGAAGGATTTTTTATTGATTTATTTACCCCTCTGTTTCAAGTTTTCCAGACTTGTATAACTTGACAAGAGTCCGAATATTTAAATACTTAAAAACAAAAAACGACGCGTTTTTAGGACGTTTGTTTTCGACACTCCATCTCGACTTACATGATCTTTGATTGTTATGTTCATTGGAGTTTAAAGTACTTAATTATAATATTTATTGCCTTTTAAGAAGGAAGTAGAATATACATTGAGTAAGTAGATATAGACAAGGGATAAGCAATTTGAACGCTTTCTTTTTATCTTCTGTTTCTAACAATTATAATACAATCTAATGTATTTAAGCGTCAATAAAATAATCTAATGACTAATTCTCTTTCTACGTGACAATCATACGATTTTACCGTCACTATATCATAGGAGAGCTAATATATATATAGCAATATCTATATATTGGTCAAATAACGGATATATTACAAATCGATTATCCGATATATAATATCGAAATAACGAGCCTGAACAAAATTAATAAAGATATTCGATTGATGTGAACGATATTGAAATGACCTTTTGTTTCACCATCAATATCCAAAGAAACCCAATATATGGTTATCGGGATATTGTAAATGTATATTGTATATGAAAACACATTTATTATTCCGCTACGATACTAGAAACGTCCAAAACCTCTTTTTTATGATATTCAGAATGGAGGAAAAACTAAATAGCATTTGACAACGCCGCATCGTATCCATCACGGGTATATAGCTATATCTAAAACTTTAGTTACAATATCTATATATTGACTCAATAGGCTCAATAACAAATATATGAAATATCGGTAATCAATATAAGGTTATAATATCGAAATGAGAACTCAAAAGGAATATATCCGGACCGGATATCCGACTGGTATAGGTAATATCTCTCTGAATCTCTTTTTCGCCACTAATATCTAAAAAAACCTAATATATAGATATTGCAGCGGTATTGATTTTATGGCTCTGTGTAAGGCCATTACAACATCCGACTTTTTAAACCTAAACAGCTGCTTCACGGCAGAAACACAGGTGAGACAGAAGATAAAAACATACATACATTATGCTCTCCTATTACATGGTAACGACAAAATGACCTAGTATAAATTATAAAAGCGAATGCAGTTTCTGATGAGCCTCAAACAGCCGAGTCACCCTGGTCTTTGGACTTATCACTGACAATAGACGCCTTCAGATTCAGCGTTGACAACTGACTGACGGGCACTTCTGTGTTCGAGTAGCTATTCGAACCCCGGACTGGTCCCCACCTGCTGAAGTGTCGCGTACTTATCCCCTCCTCACTGTCATCACTGCCTAACGTACTCGAACTCTTCACCGTATCGTACCTCTCCCCCTCCAGGGACGGCATATCGATCATCATCGCTTCCATGGCTATATCTTGCTTCAGACTTTGCTGTGACATGCTCCGCTTCATAGATGTTTCCGTATTTAACTGCTTGAAGAGCTGTTCCGACATACTCTGCCGGTTGTACTTTTTGTCTTTCCTCAGCACTGGCCTGTCCAAAGTCATCGTTTCCTGCATCTCCATCTCTTTGGGCACGTCGTCGCCAAACGCCATGATGGGCGCCCTCTTTAAATCCGACCCGCTGAAGACCGAGAAACCTGAAATCTTCTCGGAAACCAACTTGAGGTTTGAAGTCGATCCAAACTTTTGGGCTTTGCTCAACTTGGGCTTTAGGACTTTCGTTTGGTTTGGACTGACGCTGCCTCTCCTGCCCATGTTGGGTGTGTTCGCTGTGGAGAGGAAGTTCAGGCTCGTTTTCGACCTAGACAGCGATCCTATGAGAGAGGTCCTGTGGTTGTGGGCGCTGAGGAAGTGCTGCAGCACGTTCTGGGGCCAGGGAACTTTTAGGTACGCCTCCTTGTCCGGGATGGGCATGAGGAACTTTTTCTCGTGGTTATCGAGCTCCTCCTCGAAGTACTTTATCAGAGTCTGCGTAGAAATGGTGCGTTTAGTCGCATGACCTTTGGGACGGCACAAACATATATCCAACGGTGTGTTTGAGACGCGAACACAAGAGTTAGACTGGATGATGGTGTATTTATACCCAATTCGATACACTAATGTAAATGTTGCTAGCTAGTGACAGAAGTTAAATTCCCGTTTTGTCTCGGTATGTACGTGTGATGTGAAGGGATGAAAAGAATGGTTTGGGGAAAATATCAATGGATTTTAAGGTCTATATTAGATGCTTTGAAAAAAGTGGTCGAAAATTTACCAACTGGAAGTATTCCTTCCGTGGCGTAATAGGACCACACTCTGGAGAGGTGAGAGAGAGAGAGAGAGAGAGAGAGAGAGAGAGAGAGATGTGGGTTCGAATACCAACAAATTGAGTTGCATTTTATTGGAATTTTTAATCTACTATTAATTGAAGATTCCCAAATGTTGGATTAAACGTTTAAAATATTTCCAATTATTACTGAATGATGAAGGTTATAATATAGAGGAAGACCCAAAAATATGGATGGACTGGGGTGAAAGATGATTTGTGGCCAGAAAGGAAGTGAATATTGGGATGACTGCAAACAGAGATTAATGGAGAAAATAAAAAAAAAGAATCATTACGTCGAACCCAAATGATGGGAGAATAAGGAAGGAAGGATGATGGGATGTGGTAAACATTTTTCACAATATTCGAAATTCAAAAATTTTATATTAATAACTTCGTTACGCAGATTTCAACTCTCGTTTTAAAGAAGATAAAGTCTATTTTAAATATTTTTTTGTACCTATCAAACTTTGAACATAACTTTTTTTTTTTAATTTCGCAACAAAACGGCCAATATTAAAACGATAAAAATATGTATTAGATCACAATTTTAACGAGTTCTAACACAATAAAGTCGACAATTGTGAACTAATTTTATACTTTTTTTTTTAATAGAAAAAAAAACCCCTTCAGAATGGAAACGGAAGTTTTTTTTTTTAATTTATAAACAACTAATTTGTTAGTGAATATATACATATATTTCTCTCTTACTACTCACCCGAGAAAAACTGCCAATAATTTTTTAAAAGCCTAAGAGATGTTTCGCGTCTCAAAACCTATCTGTAAGAGAATAGCTCATCACCTGATGATGTACCCACTGACGCCACATCATCCCATCACCTAATTAGTGTCACCAAGCCGTTACATGCATAACCCACAGTTATAGTACTGGGGATGGGGTTCGTTTAATTCACACAATTTGAAATTTAAATTATTAATAATTTAAATAAATATATTATTAAATACAAATTTATATGCCTTGATAACAATAATAGATGCCAAAACAATAATTTTTAGGGGACTTTAGAATCGTTTGTCGCGTCTGTATGTTTGTTCCGGTTATCACACAAAAACTATTGCACCAAATACGACGTCGTTTTAACTATGCTATGTTCCTTAACCACTCGAGCGTTTATGCATCATACGCTGTACCGAACAAAAATGTGGGCGGGCGGTAATGCAACACAACAGTGTCTGTTGCATTACTCGAATTTGCAGAGGCGTTTGCATTAAATTTATATAGGTCATTAATTTATGTAGGTAATAAACCCATTTATCCATAACCTCTAATCGAAATTTGGAGTGATGCAGTGCGTATAGTGAGCTAGCCTAGAGCCGATCGCTACACGGGTTAAGGTGTAACCTTAAATCCGGCGTTTGTTTCATCTCGACGCGCCATCTAGAAGTGGTCAAATTACATTGGCTTTTCTACTTCTGAAATCCACGCGTCAGAAGTAGCGGGCAAATAGCTAGTTTGAAATAAAAGCATGACGAAATTTTGCAATCTAAGTCTATGTATATATCTTTACAGTAAACCTCACAACGGTTCCGGACACTACTCACTCCTTTTACTGTCCCTTAGTGGCCGTTCATACAGACAGACCCGATTTTAATATTTTTTGTCGGCTCTCGGACATTCCCATACAACCAAAGAAGTTAAGGACAAATATACTTTATTTCAATGACATTATAGTAAAATGGTATGTATCATTAGAAACACTTCGTTACAGCACGTATAAAAAAAAAAAACAATCCGCCGGCCCTTACTGTCTCATTTTATGTGTGCGGTAGCGAACACGTATCTATTGACAGATTCGTTTATTTAAGAGGTTTATTGTATACAAAACTCCGACACGGCTTTACCAGATTTCTATTTTCGTAACAAAAAAGGTTATCTGTAAGGGATTGTTCTAACATTAAGATCGCATTTTGTACCTTTATGTATATATTTCAATGTATACTTTATGCTATTGTATTAAACTTGAATTTTCTAATTATTATTGTATATAGTACAATTTTATATTTTTGGTGCAATGAAGAGTTTAATAAATAAATAAATATGTATATATTTGAAATTTGTAAATTTAAAAGTGTGAATTAAAGTAACCCTGTCCCCAGCACTATGTTTATTATAACCATGCTCTATGGATGCTCGAGTAAAACAACACACATGCTAAAATATTTATAAACATCAATATTAGAACGACAAGTTCCAAGTTTCTTCAGTACTGGCATACTGTATTGCCTGTAAATTACCTAAAGTGCCTCCACAAACGAGAGACTTAGTCTGTGACAGCCAAAACATCCCGTTAGGTCCGCCTTAAACTTCCGTAAAAAAAAAAACTGTAGTTTCTTAGCTAATATTTATATTATAGTTTTATAAGGGGACAGTAGTTATTGTTTTAGAATTGGGCTCCTAAATAGGTTAAAATAATAACCTGTGTAAGGGGCCAATTCAATTCTACCTTCTAATTTGAGAGGCATAAACAAAGTAGACTATTGTCGCTCGTTTGCGGAGGCCTTTATGTCATAATGGTTGTACCTTATTAGGACTTAATGTATCCAATAATGAATCTCTCTTTTCTTAAAATCTAACCATTAGTTTTACTTGAAAGAAAATGCAAAAAATGGACCAAAATGAATATGGGAACAATTTGTAAACAATAAAAAACAATTAATATTTTTTTTTTATGGATGATAATGGAATGGTAACCCCGCCTGCGCTATCGGTATACACTGGGTACCAGTGGGAGATAATAGATGGGGATTAAGGCAGTTCAGTTAGCCTATTACTATTAATTTACTATGTGCTTTTGTATCGAAACAGAGTGGTAATCGAGCATACGGCCCGCCTGATGGCAAGCGAAACCTACAGTTCACGACCACTTGCAACACTAGAGTCACTACATACAGGGCTGCCGCCCCTCGTGACGTGATCATTTCCAGTCACAGTATACAGTGGTATCATCGTAAGATCCCACTCTTCACACTGGGAGACAGTACTAACGTGACCGGCTTTATTACGCTTTAGAAGAAATAAGGAAATTTTGGTCCAATTCTTTTTTTTTATACAACTTAGAATGGCAAACAAGCTGACGGTCCACCTGATGGAAAGTGGTAACCGCGCCATATCCCACCCTTCAAACCGAAACACAGCCATGCAAACACAACTGCTTTACAGTTCAAACACGAATGGGACAGAGGTACCCAAGCAATCGACTATTGTATAAAATCTCCATACTAACTAATCATTACTATTAGAAAAAAAAAATCAAATCAGAAATCCTTATTAATGCTATAAAACTATTGTTCCGACCCGACTTCGCACGAGTAGAGAGAATTTTTGAAAATCAATACACATAATAAAAAAAAAAAAAGTTTCATTCAATTCAACTGATTGGTTATTTTATAGCATTTTATATGTGATTTTTTGGACTGATATATCTTTTTAAATTCCCATCCCCACAATACAATTCAAGTTATACCGATCTATTTAAAAAAATCGTTCCATTTCATTATCATCCAATAAAAAAAAAAAACAACTTTGTCCAACTAAAGTTACTTGTAAATTCATAACGTTCCGCTAACGTGGTACTCACCGCCTTCCTGTGGCCGAGCGTGGCCCTCCACTCCTTGAGCTCGAGCGAGTACTTCTCCTCGACCGCCTTGATCTTGTTCGTCTCGTGGTTCATGAGCGCTTTGCGTTTCTCGTTCTGGTACTGTTCCAGCTCGCGGACCAGCGCCTGGAGAGAGGGGAAAGGTACAATATCTGTTCTCCTTTAACCAAAGGTTGTCTGTAAGAGATCGCCCTAGCGATAAGACCGCCTTTTGTACCTTTATGTGTATATTTCAATCTGTATTTATGTTACTGTATTACACTTGAATTAATCACTTGTCATTGTATATTTTTATTTATGGTGCAATAAAGAGTTAAATAAATAAATAAATATCATGAATGAACTAACTATCCGATACGGGGGGGAACGGATTGTTAGCAATGGAGTTTGACAGCCCCATTGCTAGCAATATGCCCTATCAGGTCAACCTCCACGTGATTCCCCCTGGAAACCATCGTGAACAATTCTCGTTGAATTCGTCGCGATGGGCTAACTGACCTGATGCATCCTCACCTATCATCCGTCACTGGTACTCCACCGGTGTATACCGATAGCGCGGGTGGGGTTACTATTTCATTATCACCTATAAAAAAAAAACTATCCGATATGATTTTTTTTTTGCTATTTAAGACCTGTGCCCTTGTCGGTGGAGCTCTTGCCACTCACTACGATGCTTAGCGAGTCTCTTCACCACTTGATACGACACGACTAACTTTTTCCTTGATTTACCTGATGTAAACTTAGGAGAGATATTGCTTCACTCTGCGTGTTCTACCGCTTGTACAACGGAATGTGATCAGAGGAATTGTTTAATATGATACCCACAGCCACTTTCCACCATCGACAGGGAGTTCACCCTCATACCCTACAGCCTAGATGGTCGCGTACATACGGCAGTTTCAGGGATGTTTTCTCCCACGAACACTCAGGTTATGGAATGAGCTCCCTGCCGATATTTTCCCAAGAGATTACATCATGGGGTTCTTCAAACGGGGGGTAAAGAGGATTCTTCAGGGTCGACAACGCGAGCGTAATACACCTGATATTGCAGGCGTTTATAGGCTACGGTAACCGCTTAACACGAGGTGGGCCGTATGCTTGTTTGCCACCTCAGTGGTATGAAAAACAATGTAACTGTATGTGCCTTGGTCTCCCCCTACCCCTTCTACATTCTTGATTTCTATTATAATGTTCATAAGGTCGTAGTGACGTGTTAAGTTTCCTAACATTTCCCCCCTTCCAATTACTAATTTATCTCTCTGTTCTTAATTATCCGACAGATAGAGAGGCAGTGTGAATAAAAATGCCATACCTCTCCAGCAGCCTTGAGCTCCTCCCGAGCCTTCGCGTGCTTGGTGGCCAGTCTCTGCTGCTCCGCTCTGTATCTCTTCTTCTCGTTCTCTTGAAACTGTACAATAATAATAATAATTAGTGGTATACGATAGCAGGAAACTTACTAATGTGAGGGGGGGGGGGTGGTTAGTAACAGGGGCAAACAGGCCCATTGTTAACATTCTCTTACAGGTTCACACAGTTTCTCCTGGAAGCGATCGTGACTAATAGTAGTTCATCATTCTAACCTATCATCCTGGGAGGAAAGGGATTGTTAGTAATGGAGATTGAGAATTCCATTGCTAGCAATATACCCAACCAGGTCGACCTCCTCGCGGTTCCCCCTGGAAACTATCATGATTAATTGCATCGTTGTGTTTGTACTATTGTATACTCATTCGATTAATTCCCGATGAATTCATCATGATGGGCTAACTGGCTTGTTTTTATTCTCATCGATCTATTCACTGGTGCCCCGCCAGCGTAAACCCGTTAGCACAGGCGGGGTGGGGTTACTATTCCATTTTCTACCAATAAAAACCTATCATCCCTCACTGGTGCCCCGCCAGCGTATACCGATAGCACAGGCGGGGTTACCATTCCATTATCATTCATTAAAAAACCATTAGTCCGATCAAGTGAGCCCGCCTAGCCTACTGTAACGGTATCGTGCATGGCGTACCCGCTTGAGCTTGTCGCGGTCGTCGTCGTGCTGGCCCGGGCCGGCGCCGATGCGCAGCGACTCGCGGAACATCATCTCGCGCGCCTTCTGCTCGGCGCGGATGCGTTTCGGCAGCGAGCGCTTCTCTAGCGCTTGACACTTGGCCAGCTCCTCCTCTTTGCGGGTGTTTTTTCTGAACAAATTTTAAATTTTCTAAAAAATTTGTGTTTAAAAACATTTTTACCGGAGGAAAACTTTGTACAAAGGTCGTTTCCTTGGACACCTCTGTCCCATTTGTGTTTCTACCGTGAAGCAGTTGTGTTTGTATGGCTGTGTTTCAGTTTGAAGGGTGGGATATGGCAGTGAATTTACAGAGTGCAGAGAAATAACACCTGAGTCCTCAGGAATGGCAACGCATGGGGGGTATCATGGGTGAAACAGTATACTCTGTTATGTCCACGGTACTTCTCATGTCTATAGGCGACGGTTACCACTTTCATCAGGTGGGCCGTCAGCTTGTTTGCCATTCTAAGTTGCATAAAAAATATTTAGCACCTTCCAACCCCTATAACGGCGGTGCTGCTCATGTCTACAGGTGACTAAGACCACTTTCCGTTAGCTCGTTGATCATTCTGGTTTGCACAAACGAAGCCTCACCTCCTGATCTGCTCCAGCTCCTTGTCGTGCCGCACTAGCATCTGGTGGCGGCGTAACAGGAACTCGTCCTTGAGCTGCCGCTTGGCGAGCTGGTGTCGCTCGTGGATCTGCTTCTCCTCCAGCTCCCACAGCGCCGCCTCGCGGGTGCGCATTATCTGTTGGACAAAGAATAAATAAATACTATTCGGAATATTACAATAAGTATGGTAACCTCGCCTGGGCTATCGGTATACGCTGACGGAGCACCAGTGAGTGATGACAGGTGAAGATGAAAGCAAATCAGTTAGCCCACCGTGACGAATTGCATTAGAATTAACCATTATAGTTTTCTATGATGGTCAAAAGGGGGGTAACCCCCTCTTGAAGAACCCCATGCTGTAGTCTCCTGGGAGAACATCGGCAAGGAGGTCATTCCACAACCTGAATGTTCGTGGGAGGAAACATCCCTGTAACCGCGCTGTCGGCGAGCATGTAGGCTGTAGAGTGTAGAGTGTAGAGTGTAGAGTGTAGAGTGTGAGGTGTGAGGTGCGAGGTGCGAGGGTGTAGCAGGCGCACCTGGTGGCGCTGCTGCAGGTACTGGCGGTCGGCGAGCGCCTGGCGGTGGCGGTGCGCGTGGTGCGTGCGCCGCAGCAGCGCGTCGTGCGCGTCGGCGAGCGCGGCCACGAACGCGCGCTCGCGCTCGCCGTGCTCGGCGTCGAGCCGCGAGCGCCGCTGCCGGTACGCCTCCTTGCGCCGCTCCTTCGCCACCAGCTCCACCTCCTGCCACACGGACCGCGCCACATTCTCATCATACGACACAACCGATGCTAAACGCCACAAACAAACTTTTTTTTATGCAACTTAGAATGGCAAACAAGCTGACGGCCCACCTGATGGAAAGTGGTAACCGTCGCCTATAGACATGAGCAGTACCATGGAGTCGATTGCTTGGGTACCTCTGTTTCATTTGTGTTTCAACCATGAAACAGTTGTGTTTGTATGGCTGTTTCGGTTTGAAGGGTGGGATATGGCGGAAATTTACTGGGTACAGAGGAATAACATCTGAGTCCTCAGGAATGGCAACGCATGGGGGGTATCATGGGCGAAACAGTATACTCTGTTGTGTCGGCGACGGTTACCACTTTCCATCAAGTGGACCGTCAGCTTTTTGCCATTCTAAGCTATATAAAAAAAAAATAACAATGTAAAGAAGTTTATTCTTTCCCCGAGCTATATCTGCGACATACCTGCTTGAGCAGCCGCAGCTCCTGCTTCAGCGTGTCCCGGAAGTGGCGTAGGTCCCGCTCGTGATCCGCCCGCAGCCGTTTGGCTGCTTGACGTAATTCCACCTCTAGCGATTGCTCGGCTCGCTCGGCGGCCGCTCGCCCACTACGTGCCAGCGCATCTAATTCCGCCTCGTGCGCCCGGTTCAACGACGCTAGCTCGGCCTCGAACCTGCAACACCCTTACCGTGAGTAATACAACCTCGGTGGTGGGGAGGGATTGTTAGTAATAGGGAGGTTAGTACTCATTGCTATCAATATACCCTATCAGGTCGAACTCCACGCGGTTTCCCCTGGAAACTATCGTGACTTCATCGTCATGATGGGCCAACTGACCTGCCTTTTCATCCTCACCTATCACCTCTCACAGGTATCTCGTCAGTGTATACCGATAGCGCAGTTGTCTCTGTCTCCATTCGTGTTTCAACCGTGACGCAGTTGTATTTGCATGGCTGTGTTTCGGTTTGAAGGGTGCGATATGGCGTGAATTTACTGGGTACAGAAGAATAACATCCGAGTCCTCAGGAATGGCAACGCATAGGAGGGTATCATGGGCGAAACAGTATACACTGTTATGTCCCTGGTACTGCTCATGTCTATAGGCGACGGTTACCACTTTCCATCAGGTGGGCCGTCAGCTTGTTTGCCATTTTAAGTTGTATAAAAAAAAGGCGGGTTTATAATGCCATTTACATCCATTAAAAAAAATAAGACCGCAATAGTGTAATTGACAAAAAAGGTTAAAATTATGAATATTATATATATTATTCTCACACGCTTGAACTTAAACGGTCACGTACAGTGCGGCTTCAAAGGAATTTTTTCTCGCAAACGCTCAAGCTATGGAATGAGCTCCCTGCTGAGGTTTTCCCTAGAGACTACAGTATGGGGTTCTTCAAAAAGTGTATATTAAGGTTCCTTTGGGGTCGGCAAGGTGCACGTGACACCGCTAGTGTTGCAGGTGTCCATAGGCTACAGTGACCGTTTATCATCAGTCGGGCTGTATACATATTTATCATCTTCTTGGTATAAAAATAAAATTGATTGTAATTTATGAACTTTCATAACTTTTGCTTTACTATAAAGATACTCTTGTAGAGCCTCGGGGACACCCCAAGGGGTCGCGACCCACACTTTGGAAAACCCTGGTATAGATAAAGCCACGAGACGTTCACCTCTTGTCCTGCTGCTCTCGGAGCTGCTGCTCCTTGGCGTTGAGGTCCTGGAACTGCTTCTGCTCCTGCTTCTGCAGCATCTTGATCTCGCGCAGCTCCTGCTTGCGGAGCGCGTGGTCGTCCCACGTGCGGCCGCTCTCCTCGTCGCCCCATATCACCTATACACAGACCATAATTAATAATGGTCCTGGAACAGAATTGGCCACCCCTTCCTTTCCCACGGGTGTCGTAAGACGCCACTGAAAGGACTTAACGATCGAGGGATGGACAGCAGTATCCCTCATAAATGGTATCTGTTATTTATTTATTTAGAATATACTATCAAATGCAGGCGAATGTAATGGACACATACAATGCATTTTATTTATATTTCTTTTTATTGTTATTTTTAATAAGGAATTTCGCGACTGACTCTTAGCTACAACAGAATATCAGTGTTTTGCTCTTTTAAGGGCAAAGCAATAAACTGAGATGTGGCAATTTTGTGTTACTGTGGCACACGCATGATGGAAGGGAAAGAAAGGAGATTGTTAGGTTATATATTTTGTTTTTTTGTTTTGTTGCTTTTTTATTTTCATTCTTTTATCTCTTTTGCCCAAATGAGACGCTAAGCGCGGAAAATAGAGTCCTATTTACATTACATTAGATTACCACAAACAACAGTCCCGATCCACCTGCTAGCGAACAGGATTTATCTTTTATTCAAATGGCGAGATTCTTCATTATGAATATTCTCATTTTTTTAATACGCCTACATAATATTCAAAGGCTTGTTAAAAAGGAAAGGAAGGGGGGGGGGTTTAGAAAGGTGCCAGGTGGACCCTTCCCACAAGCGCAAAGAAAAATAACAAAACATTTCAATAGTTAAAATGGTTTTATGAAAGATTCGACGCCCTTATGAATAAGGCATGGAATAAGGAATTTACAGGGTACAGAGGAATAACATCTGAGTCCTCAGGAATGGCAACGCATGGGGGGTATCATGGGCGAAACAGTATACTCTGTTATGTCCACGGTACTGCTCATGTCTATAGGCGACGGTTACCACTCTCCATCAGGTGGGCCGTCAGCTTGTTTGCCATTTTAAGTTGTATAAAAAAAGGCAATTAATTGCCGATGATCATCGTACCTTGGAGGTGGTAGTGGTGACGATGACGCCGTCGATCTCGAACTTTCTCGTGCGTTTCCGCGTCTTCTTCTTGAGGTTCGCCATGTGGATGTCTTCTTTAGACCTGTGAAGAATTGAAGAGGTCATTAAGTGTTCCATTTTCAAAAACAGAGATTCACAATTAAAATTTTTTGTACACTATGAATGAAAAAAAGGCATAAATAAATGAACGTAGTAAAGTAATGCATAAAATGAACAAAAGAACATTAAGTATCCTGTAATTAGAGAAACATTTGTACTTTATAATTGTAATATAATTACTTCTCCCCATCCAAAGTTTGCCTGCAAGAGATCGTTCTTAGCGATAAAGTTACCCATTGTTGTCTCACTATGATCATTTCCTTGTAATTGTTTGTATCTATAATAAGTTTACTATTGTAATCTTATGGAGGAAACAATAAAGAGTATCTATCTATCTATAATAATTTAATGCAATGTTCTTTCTTTCCGCATAACGCGTCTGTATAACGATATTTTAAAAACCAAGCCTGAACTTGATATTCACTGCGATAGTCACTCTGTATTCATGACTAAATTAAAGTGTTGATATACCTCACCATTACATTATATTTATTTATATTTTATAATAATTTGAATACAATTTCCATTATTTATATTATATTATTATTCATATTGTTAATATCTTTACTCATTTAATAATTTAATTATATTTTAATGTTTGTCAAACACAAGGCATGCTGTGGTTGCCTATAAATGTAAGAACGGTAAGATCTGAGCTGCCAGTGTATTGTATTAAAACTTAGCTTTATTGTAGCTGTATCTTATGTTGGTAATCCTATAAATAAATAAATAAATACAATTTAATATTTGCAAACCTCTACAGGGTGCAGCATGTTTTGTACTTACTCGAATAAGTAATATATTATTTAACCGTGTAGCAAACAAACAAATATGATTTGAACTTATAAATTAATTAATGAAATGAATAAATAAAAGAATGAAATAAACGAATGTAATGAATGAATGAATTGAATAGAATGAATGAAACGGAATTTTAACCCATTTGATTGTTCTCACCTCTGTATCCTGTTAACAGACTGTCCGTCTTGGTTCTTCCTCCTCAAAACGACCTGGTCTCCGTTCTCCAAACCTTGAAGATCTGCGTTTATTCTGTAATCAAAAACAGATGACTTGTATAATAAACAGTAATGATAATCCATCATTTAGAAAGAAGCTACACATGCCCCAAAATGGATGTAGATAGAGGGAAGGGGTTAATAGTAGTGGGGACTTTTTTTTTTATTGACGAGTGAAAATGGTATGGTAACCCCGCCTGCGCTAACGGGATACGCTGGCGGAGCACCAGTGAAGGGTGATAGATGAGAATGAAAACAGGCCAGTTAGCCCATCATGATGAATTCATCAGGAATTAACCATGATAGTTTCCAGGGGGAACCGCGAGAAGGTCGGCCTGGTTGGGTATATTGCTAGCAATGGGATTCTCAGGCTCCATTACTAACAATCCCTTTCCCCCCTACACACTGGTGGTATGGTCGGCGTGGTGTTTAAGGTGGAGTACAGTCTACGATGCTGACCTGCCGCCACCGTTGTGATGTCGGTGGTCGTCGTGCTCGGCCGCCAGCGAGTCCGCGTCGGCGGCCGCGCGCGACGACGACGACGCCACCGAACCGCTGTCCGACTGCGACCGGCGGCTGGTAACAGATAGATAGATTTATTTATTTTATACAAAAATCCACAGCTTTTAAAAACACAACTTACATGCCAAGTCTCTTTCTTTCTTTATTCTTTTATTGTACACAAAAGGTGATTGAAATGTAAAAACAAACATAATAGTGCACAAAGGCGAGCTTATCTCCAATAGAGATTTCTTCCAGCAAACCCAATATGAGAAAACTGACAGTTCATTAGTAGTTACAGTCATGCATGTGTACCAATCGACTTAAATGTTATAGTTAAAAATAAATAAATAAAATGTCTTTACAATTGAAAAGATCGATAGGTATAAATAAACAAATAAACATATATATAAATAAATACATATAAATAGATAGATATATATTATATATAATACACAAATAAAATAAGTACGTACATCAGCATTGTGAGAGGTAATAATTCTTCAGACGTCTTTTTTTTATACAACTTAGAATGGCAAACAAGCTGACGGTCCACCTGATGGAAAGTGGTAACCGTCGCCTACAGACATGAGCAGTACCATGGACATAACAGAGTATACTGTTTCGCCCATGATACCCCCCATGCGTTGCCATTCCTGAGGACTTAGGTGTTATTCCTCTGTACCCTGTAAATTCACTGCCATATCCCACCCCTCAAACCGAAACACAGCCATGCAAACACAACTGCTTCACGGTTGAAACACGAATGGGACAGAGGTGCCCAAGCAATCGACTTTTGTACAAAGTCTCCCTCTGGTAAAGTATATATAAATACAGCCAATAACGAATTTTATACAAACAAAAGTTATAATTCCAAAGCGCAAGGTAGGCAAGATAGAGTGGTTTTTTTTTTATTTTTATTTTTTTTTTATTTAGAGGCTTTTATCCTTTAAGGATATGTCAGCCTCATCATAATAGAATGGGTGTATGCAAGTAATATACGTGTATGTATGAAAGAAACCATATATAATAATGAGTGTCCACAAAGTTAGGTTAATTGATATATAAAATAATTAAAATCCATGTTGCTACAGTTCAGATGTTGACAGCAATGTTTAAGTAATACAAGTAGATAGGTACTCTCTATTGTTCCCTCCATAAGATTACAATAGTAAACTTATTATAGATACAAACAATTACAAGGAAATGTTACAATATTATTAATATAATGATCATCGTCATCATATCATCATCAGATCATATCAGCCTTTAACTGTCCACTGCTGGACATAAGCCAACCCCTTAGAAGGTTTTGCCAGTAGTTACCACGCTTGGCACGCGGACTGACAACCGCAGTAAGGTTTTAGAGATGTTTTACAAGGGATGCTAGTGTCCATCCCTCGCCGTCCCTTAGTCGCCTCTTACGACACCCACATGTAAGGAAAGGGTGGCCTATTCTATGCCGGGACCACACCGCCAATTATAGTTCCATAATTATATCGTGGGTCAAACTGAAAGATGAAGAGTATGATAGCGCGAGCTTGACTGCGGTCTGACTGTTTCGGCCTATTGTAGGCGCTCACGTCACAGCCGCTCATAATTAAGGGTCACGAATTGATTCCGGAACTAGTCGAGCTTTCTCGATTCAATTTCACTTAAGTTAAACCGATTGTTATTACATTCAAACATAAAGTGAAGTTACAAAGCTTTTAACTATATAAAATAAGTCTAACTTCTGTATTAGTACATTCTAAAAAGCTTTCTATTTCACCCCATATAGAGTCCACATTGTGAAATACAGGATTTTGAGCCTTATTCTCAATAACATACAATAAAAGTTACCTCTCAAAGCTGTCGGGACTAAGCCGCGGCGTGTGCGGGTGTGAGTGCGCGTGCGCTTGTCCGTGTGCGTGCGCGTGCGTGTGCGGGTGCAGTGCCACGTGTGTGGCGGCCGAGTCCCGCACTCGCACCTCCTCGTTGCCCACGGTCACCACTGACACGTGTGATGTATCCTGCAACACGTGTATCATATTATAATACTTGCTTTTACTAGAGAGATTTTGTATTTTTTTTAACGGTTGATATTCAAATGATAATCCTGCCTGCGCTATCGATTTAACTGACGGCGCACCAGTGAGAGGTGATGGGTGAGGGTGAAGACAGGTCAGTTGGCTCGCCATGTTGAATTCATAAAGAATTCAACCGCCAGTTTCCACAAAGAACCGCGTGTTGGAAAAAGCTTAATAAAATAATATACACCAGGAAAAAGACATCGGTCTTCAAGTTTTATTAGTAGACTAGCAAACCTCATGGCGTGAATTTACAGGGTACAGAGGAATAACACCTGAGTCCTCAGGAATGGCAACGCATGGGGGGTATCATGGACGAAACAGTATACTCTGTTATGTCCACGGTACTGCTCATGTCTATAGGCGACGGTTACCACTTTCCATCAGGTGGGCCGTCAGCTTGTTTGCAATTTTAAAGTGCATAAAAAAGGTAACAAACATAAAAACATATATTTTTATTTAATTTGTATGTATTTTTTTTTTTAATGTGTGATAATAAAAAAAGCAACCCGCCTGAGCTATCGGTACATGCTAGCGGGACACCAATGAGGGGTGATAGGCGAGGATGAAAGCAGGTCAGTTAGCCCATGGTGACGAATACCACTAGAATTAACCACGATAGTTTCCAGGCGAAACCGCGTGCAGGTCGATCTGATAAGGTACTAGCAATAGTAATGGGGAAATTAGACCCTATTACTATCATCCCCTCCCCCCCCCCCCCACGTATGTAAGAATGCACGTTACCAGGTTGAGCGCGTTGTTCCCGCTGTCGTCGAAGACTCCCGAGTCCGCGCCGGCGCCGGGGCTCAGGATCAGCACCTCGCTGCTGTCCAGCCGACGGCCGCGGCTCTTCTCCGCTGCAAACCATATTTATATATAGATAGATAGATAGATAGTTTATTTGCATTACTTACAGCACACAAATTACAACATACATAGATATATATAAAAAGTGAGATAATATAAATGATTAAAAAAAACATACATAAAGCCGAGTACAATATTTCTTTCGTGCGTGTGCCATAACAATACAAAATGGTCACAACTCGGTTTATTGCTTCGCCCTCAAAAGAGTAAAGCACTGATATTCTGTCGCGGCCTAAGGGAATAGGGTAACAATAAAACAATACCACCAGATTATCCATACAGTAAATAGACAGATATACGGCAAACAATAACCATACAGCAGTTACTATTGTGTGTAGTTTCGTTATTGTAATTCTTAATATATTTTTCTCAAACATGCTTGGAAATATGAGCATTATTTTGACAATCTTCTTCGAGATAAATCAAAATTGCCGCACTGTCCAGATACATGCGGGCAGCGGCCGGCAAAAGTTGTATGAAAATCCATATCTGTCGTATTAGTGTATCAGCCAAATAAATTACTATGTAAACTCATATCTGTCCTGTAATTTAAAAATGGAATGACATTTTACTTCGAAACATGGCTACCATGGAGATAACTAGTACAAGGTTTTAATTAAATTTCGAACTGGCTTGCAATTAGAAAGCTGTTTATTGAAAAACAAACAAAGGAACATTATGGTGCGTGAAAAATTATTATTGTTCGTTATTCGTCATTGAACTAAAAAAAGTAAAATTGTGTTTTTGATTTCCGCGCATTGTTTGAGAAAAGTACTATACAAGCCTTGGCCACAACTAGGCATTCATGGACTCACGTATGTGTGCCTCGGCTACGCCTCGGCCCACATTTGCACGTTCGTCCATCAATGCCTCAGTTGCTGGCCGCTGCAGTAATGTACTATTTTTTAACCCCTGTGTGGGTGCAATCGCATATTACTGTAGAATAAAGCTTTGTTTCTTTCAAAAACAGCTTCATACCCGTGTAGCAGTTGGTGCAGTCGAGCGAGTCGAGCGAGGAGGGCGCGAAGCAGTCGTCGTCGGAGGACGAGCCGGCGCCCACTATCACCACCTCGTCCGCGATCGGAGGCGTCGTCGAGATCGTCACCGCGTTGGGCGGCAACTGTTGAGCGACCAACAAACACTGTATCTAAATTTATTATTTTGAAGTAATTTAACAGACTATTTATTTTCATATTTAAATACACTATTTAAAAGAGCATAATTCGGCCTGCTATTTTGTACGGATCGGAGTGTTGGCCAGTAAAGGTGACGGACGACAAGCGACTGCATGCAGCTGAGATGCGGATGTTAAGATGGATGTGCGGAGTGACAAGAATGGACAAAATCAAGAATGATTATATCAGAGGAAGTATGAAAGTGGCGCCAGTGGATAGAAAAGTTAAGAAGTTACCGTTTATTCTAGTTTTTTTTTTATATATGTTTTAAGAGACGCGCGCCACTTGTGGCGCCACGCCGCGAGACTCCGCTCTCAGACTCGGAGCCGAGAAACAAAGTGCGAAAGTGATGGCTGTTTATCCCGGTATGGGCACGTGATGCGCAGGAACGAGGAGCATATTTTAAAAAAAGTATTAAGAATGAATGTAGATGGCTATAAGGGCAGAGGAAGAGCTAAAAAGACATGGATGGATTGTGCGAGGGACGATATGGCCAGAAAGGGAGTGAATGCGGAAATGACTGGGAATAGAGAAGAATGGAAGAGAAAAACATATTACGCCGACCCCAAATAATAATTGGGATAAGGGTAGGAAGATGATGATTTAAATACACTGTTCATATTTATATATCATTACATAGTATAAAACAAAGTCGCTGTCGCTGTCTGTCCGTCCCTGTGTATGCTTAAATCTTTAAAACTACTCAACGGATTTTGAAGCGGTTTTCTTTAATAGATAGAGTGATTCAAGAGAAAGGATTATATGTATAATACATGCATAAAATAGTAGAAGAACACGGATAAATTTACAGGTTTCTAATATGATGTCGTAAATAGACACATTTTTTGCGCTTACATTGCAAACGCTGGCTGAACCCAACGAGATAAATCAAAATAATGTACTACAGTATTGTACACCTTAACAAGGTCTACAAAAAAGTCCGCGATGGTATATGTCTATCGCTTAAGGATAACCCACAATAATCATTTTTTTTCCTTTACATTTTACGGGAAAAATGGCTTATTTACGAAGTGATTTTAAGTGATACAGCATTATTTTTTATCCAATTTTAACCTTAAGTACATTGTCCGTTTAATATAGATCATTATGACCCTTTACAGCATGTAATTTAAATGAATACTTCCGAAGATATTACAGATTTAAAATGCAGGGCCATAGCGGTGCAGCGATACGTACTGTGTCGAAGGCCGCTCTTCGCCCTATAGCACTTTATCATGTTTGTATTGTCTAATGGCAAAAAAGCTGTAAACGTTGTTTATAAGGACAATCTGTAGTAGGTAGGTATATTTAGTATTAGCATTGCACCCGTGCGAAGCCGGGCCGGGTCGCTAGTCCTTTATATTATATTATTCGCAGGCAATATCAAAAACGTATCTATCGACATAACCTATTCACATATGACATCTAGTAGTGAAGACACTGTGCATGCGGTGTCGAAAACATATCTATCGACACATCCATTCGCGTATACCGTCTGCGGGCGACGAGTACGTACCGGAGCGGCGTTATTGAGCACCGGCGGGTGGGTGGTGGTGACGGTGACGAGACCGGCGGGCGTGGCGGCCAGCGAGTTGGGCTCCACCACCACCACGTTGTCGTTGACGGCCACCGCCACCACCGGCACCACTACCGGCGACGCGACCGTCACCACTTGCGGTCGCGCTTCACCCTCTTTGGGCTGCTGGGGGGGCTGGAATGACAATCACAATTTACTTGTTTTATTTTACATTTAATAATAACTAGGTATTATCGAGAAAGCTTGTCAAAGGTTGTAGGAGATCCCTCTATGGGATAAGTTCGCCATTGTATATTAAATCTTGCAATGAGTCCAATGTAAATTATGTACAATAGAGATTTTACAATACAATACAATACAATATTACTTGGATGAATTTAAAAATATTAGATCTCGAATCCTTCAAACATAGTGTGAACACGCAATTTTAATATGTACTATGCCTATTTTTTTTTTATACAACTTAGAACGGCAAACAAGCTGACGGCCCACCTGATAGAAAGTGGTAACCGTCGCCTATACACATGAGCAGTACCATGGACATAACAGAGTATACTGTTTCACCCATGATACCCCCCATGCGTTGACATTCCTGAGGACTCAGGTGTTATTCCTCCATACCCAATAAATTCACGCCATATCCCACCCTTCAAATTGAAACACAGTCATGCAAGCACAACTGCTTTACGGTTGAAACACGAACGGGACAGAGGTACCCAAGTAATCGACTTTTGTACAAAGTCTCCCTATGGTAAATTACTAATGACATTTGTTAATTGTGTAATTTTTGGACATTTATTATTGGTTATTTCGTTACTTCATACTGTTTCTGTTTTATCGTAAAGTTTTTTTTATGATATCTTCTTGTTATTTATATTTACTGGGTACAGAGGAATAACACCTGAGTCCTCAGGAATGGCAACGCATGGGAGGTATCATGGGCGAAACAGTATACTCTGTTACGTTCATGGTACTGCTCATGTCTATAGGCGACGGTTACCACTTTCCATCAGGTGGGCCGTCAGCTTGTTTGCCATTCTAAGTTGTATAAAAAAAATACAAAAAAAATTATTAAAAAAAAAATATTCAACATAATGTAGTATTGTTGCAAATAAATTGAATTCAAATTGAAAAAACTAATATTGTAAATGCAAAATGTGAGTTTGTCTGTTATCTCTTAGCACCTTAACAGCTTAGTCAATTAATATGAAATTTAGTATACATATGGATGTTGATATGAGGGATGCGTGTTTATGGTATGGCTGCGTTGATAAGCCGCGTATCGATGATGTTTGTCAAGCGGTGAAAATAAGCAGTCCAAGTAGCTAGCACAGTGGTTTAATGCACAGGGAGATATACACACAATACAGTCAAAAATACAATAGAAAGAAGGAGTGAAAGAAGAATGATACAGTTAAAAGGCAAAAATGAAAGTTATTAAGTGCAATATTAAAATTTATAAAGCGGTGAGAGATCGAGCGGCCTGGTGTTTATTATGTATATATGTATGTTTGTATTTATTATATATTATATTATATAATAATTATGTAAGTATAAATACGTGTGAGTGGCCTATATACACATATTATATGGGAAGGAGAAAACCATAGGTTATTTTTTAAGTCAGTCACACAGAAGTTGCAATTAAAAGCAAATTAGCAATTGACTCACCGTAACAGGCCTGATCTCCACTGCATTCTGCTGCGATCTCCTGTTCTCCTTCTCATCTTTATATCTCTTCTCGTTCTTCTCCCTTCTCTCCACTTCTGTTCTCTCCTTTTCGTCTGCAGAACTCGATCTGGAATACCTTTCTATTCTGTTCACTGCTGCGTTCACTCTGACACCTTCCGTTCTATCTTCCTCTATAGAACTTGACGTAGATTTCTCTGTATCTGACTTTCTCTGTAACCTATTCACCTCTGCGTTCACTCTGGATACTTCTTCTATAGAACTCGAACTAGATTTGTCCATATTCGACCTTCTGTTCGCCTCTGTGTTCACTCTCGATACTTCTTCCACAGAACTAGAACGGGAGTTGAATGTCTTCTCTGTCCTGTTCACTTCTGGTCTCGGCTCCTCTTTAGGCTCCGGCGTTGGCTTTGGTTTATGCACTATTTCGCTCTGTTTATCTGGTGACTTTTCTGTTTTCTTCTCTTCTACCGCCTTTTCTGCCTCGCGGCATACCTGTGTGAATATCACAAACATTATATATGGAAACGTCTTATATTTCGTTCATTTTCGATAGCCCAGACAAGCTTCTTGTTTCGCCAACTTTTTTTTTAATATACGAATGTTCTAAATTCAATTTATTGTGACTGTGTCACGTGATTACGTTGCTAATTATTTCCACTCATCTCTACTAGTGGAGATAGATGGAATAAGATCCCACTCATACCCCTCCAGTGTGGAAACATTGGTACGGACAAGTGAAACTGGTCTTAATTTTGAACCGATTCCACGATTCTTTCTACAATTTACTTTGTGACTATTGTAACTGTTGTTTTTTTTATGCAGAGCAAAAAACTGTTTGTTATGAAGCAAAATCTACTTACGGACATAACTTTGTGTCCTAAATTTAAACATTTTCCATTCTTTTTTGTTGTATTTGTAATTGTTAAGACGAGGTGTATATAAAAATATATAAAAAAAAAAACAGACAAAGAGTAAGTGGCTGCACTATTTATATAATTTTACCAGAGGGAGACTTTGTACAAAAGTTGTTTGCTTGGCCACTTCTGTCCCATTCGTGTTTCTACCGTGAAGCAGTTGTTTGCATGGCTGTGTTTCGGTTTGAAGGGTGGGATATGGCGTGAATTTACAGGGTACAGAGGAATAACACCTGAGTCCTCAGGAATGGCAACGCATGGGGGTATCATGGGCGAAACAGTATACTCTGTTATGTCTATGGTACTGCTCATGTCTATAGGCGACGGTTACCACGTTCCATCAAGTGGGCCGTCAGCTTGTTTGCCATTCTAAGTTGCATAAAAAAGATACTGCATGGCCTACCCTTTGTCTTTATTTCTCAATGTTCTGTACCCAAAGGTTGTCTAGAAGAGATTGCTTAGCGATACGGCCGCCTTTTGTATCACTTATCATTGAAATTTACTGTACTTATTAATTAGTCAATTAGCGCAGTAAAGTGTAAATAGGTAAACAAACATGTGTCGACCTGATCAACGATCTGCTTGCCGGCCGCTGCGGCGGTGGGCGTGGCTGGTGCCGAGGGCGGCGGCGGCGCGGGCTGCTTGCGGCCGGGCGCGGGCCCGCTGCTGGTGGTGTGGCTGGTGGTGCTGGTGGTGGTGGTGCTGGTGGTGGTGGCGGCGGGTGTCGGTGGCGCGGGGGCGGGTGCGCGGTGCGCGGGGGAGGCGGGCGGCGAGGCGGCGGGCGGCGGCGGCGGCGCGGGACCCTTTTCTTTTTTCGGGGCCTGGGGAAGTAAATAAGTGAATTACTATTTATGTGGTCCCGGCATAAAATTGGTCAGTCCTTCCTTTTCCGCGGGTGCCGTAAGAGACGACTAAGTTTTCCTTCATGCCGAAATCGGCCTAGTAAATGCAGATTAACATTTCACAAATCCTACTGTAATAGTATAAAGAAACGACATATAAACATTTTTAAATTAAACAGTGTGTGTTATATAATTTTAACGTAAAATTTTTTATTGTTCGGCCAAAAAATTTCGAAAAATATTTCATAGTAGATATTTTTTTTATACCACTGAGGTGGTAAACAAGCATACGGCCCACCTGATGGTAAGTGGTTACTGTAGCCTATGAACGCCTGCAATACCAGAGGTATTACGCGCGCGTTGCCAACCCTGAAGAAACCTCTTTACCCCCCTTTTGAGGAACCCCATGCTGCAGTCTCTTGGGAAAACCTCGGCAGGGAGCTCATTCCACAACCTGAGTGTTCGTGGGAGGAAATATCTGTGAAACCGCGCAGTACGCGACCATTGAGGCTGTAGGACATGAGGACGAACTCCCCGTCGATGGCGAGCCGTACGATGGTAGAAAGATGCTGTGAGCATCATATTGAACAATTCCTCTGAGCACAATCCATTGTACAGACGGTGGAACACGTAGATTCCTTGCTTTCATCCTCACTTATCATCCCTCACTAGTATACCGATAGAGCAGGCGGGGTTAACCTTCTATTTCCTTGCAACAAAAAAAGAAGCATAACTCACAGGCGCTTTCCTGTCAGCGGGCGGGTGTTCGTCGTCGCGCGGCCGCTTGGCCGCAGCCGGTGCGGGGGTCGCGGGGGTCGCGGGGGCGGCGGGGGCGGCGGGCGCGGCGGCGGCCGGCGAGGGCGGCGCGCGGGGCTGCACTGTCGACGGCGGCTCCGCCTCCGACACTGCCACACAGAGATTGTTATGAAAAAATTTACTGTGCCCTCTCATTACAAACCTTATGGTAAAAATTAATTAGTTGCCTATAGACAGAAGTATCATTTAATACAGTGACGTCCATAACACCATTCATATATTGCCACTTTTCAATACAACTCAGGTACTTTTCATTCTTTTGCCGTCTACTCCCGGCATAGAATGGACCACCCTCTCCTTTCCAGTAAATGTCGTAAGAGGCGACAAAGGCAGAGCGAAGGATAGGCAGGAGCAACCCTCTTAAATAGGGAGGAAAGGGATTGCTAGTAATGGAGACTAAAAATCCCATTGCTAGCAATATACCCAACCAGGTCGACCTCCTCGCGGTTCCCCCTGGAAACTATCATGGTTAATTCCTGATGAATTCATCATGATTGGCTAACTGGCCTATTTTCATTCTCATCTGTCACCCTTCACTGGTGCTTCGCCAGCGTATCCCGTTAGCGCAGGCGGAGTTACCATACCATTATCACCCATAAAAAAAAACCTTTTTAAATACCACCAAAAACCTAACTAAAGTTGCCAATCCGCCTGTTAGGTGTGGTAACTATGGGCCTCGTTCCTGCCAATATAATGCGGACTACCAGTCCTATTTGCTAGCAATATACCTCGGGTCAGGTCGACCTCCACTGGGAACCATCATGCTTAATTCTAAGTGTATATGTCACGTTAGTTAGCCCATTAACATTTACATTAACTACTTCCTATGCCACTGCGTTAGGTTGACTGGAAGAGATCTCTTTTAGAGATAAGTTCACCTTCGCTAACATTATGTTATTAACTTATTGTTGTTACTGTATGTTTTAGTGCAATAAAGTATATATATAATCACTGACCTGCCTTTTCATCGTCACCTGTCATCCCTCACTGGTGCCCCGCCAGCGTATACCGATAGCACAGGCGGGGTTACCAATCCATTATCATCCATTAAAAAAAATTACAACAAACAAGGTACTAGATTAATACTTAGAGTGACGAAAAAATTAAAATCTAATAAAAGACGACTCACTCTTGACGTCCGGCGTGTCGCCCGACCTCACAGACGTCGAGTCATCTTCCATCTCCATATGCATTTGAGAGCTGCGATGTTCCTGCAACACACACAAATGGAAAACATTAATTTAATGCGCTGAACGAACGAACCGCTCACCATCAAGTGGGCCGTATGCTTGTTTGCCACCTTATCTTATCTTATTTTTTTTTTCGCATATGGGCGTCAGCTAAGCTGTTGCACGTCGACCCATTGGGATCTTTTGTGCTTCCCTCTACCTTATACCATCATTTCATAGATCCTATGTGTTACCCTAACGATATCCCGTTTATGTAACACATATGTTTGCCACCTTGGTAATATAAAAAAAGAACACGAGTCCAGTAAAAGCCGAGTTTAGAATAATAATTTATTTCCTTAAACAAAATTACAATTAAATTAGCTACTTCATAATATATTTATTAATATAATATATAATTTAAAAAGTTTTTTTTATATTACTTGTCGAGTTAACAAGACCAGCTCTGGTTACTAAATACTCAATAGTTACTATATCTCATAATAATGCTTATCATAGTATTAATATATATATATTTATTTATTTATTTATTTAAGGAACACCAACAGCATATTGCATTATAACATATAGGTATAACAACATTAAATACAATACAACATATATATATATATATATATATATATATATATATGCTTATTTACTATGTATTATGTGTATATATAATTATTTCAGTATGGTACTATAATTATGTCGCATATTTTTCACCACGTCTGTCCTTCATACGCTTTCTGTTGAAATAATAGAATGCCACATCGTCATAGTCGTAGAATACTGACGGATCTATATACGTAATCTTTGTCAGATCCGTCGGTATTCTACGACTATGACGATATGACAGCAAGCTCGCCACAAGTATAAAGTTTTATTGTGCAAAATAGAGAATAAATAAATAAATATATATTCCCATTAATCTTGTAATTATTGTATTGTATTTGTAAAAATGGCAATTAGCACATCTATTATATTTATTTATTTATTTATTCTTTCTTTCTCTTCTACATATATAGAAGAAGGTTTAATAATAATAATAAACTCTTTATTGCGCACAGTAGAGATGTATACAAGGAGTATTTATACAGAATGTGCATATACAAAAGGAGGCCTTATCGATAAAAGCAATCTCTTACAGACAACCTGGTATAAAGAATGGATAAGTACAGAGAGAAAGATAGATGACGCAAGCGGACACAACTCACGGGCACTCACTCAACAACGTACTCAACCACACGGGCTTTAGTCAAGTGTAAAACAAGTTTCAGCGAGCGAAGATGTAATGGCAGACGAGGTAATAAAATTTTATCATTATTATTTATTTATTAAGTGGGGGACAGGATTTGTGGGGAACAGTGGCCCCATTGCTAGCAATATACACCGTCAGGTCGACTTTCACACGATCTCACCTTGAAACCATCGTGGATAATTTCTAATGAAGTCAACTGATCCGAGGGAGACTTTGTACAAAAGTCGATTGCTTGAGTACCTCTGTCCCATTCGTGTTTCAACCGTGAAGCAGTTGTGTTTGCATGGCTGTGTTTCGGTTTGAAGGGTGGGATATGGCAGTGAAATTACAGGGTACAGAGGAATAACACCTGAGTCCTCAGGAATGGCAACGCATGGGGGGTATCATGGGCGAAACAGTATACTCTGTTATGTCCACGGTACTGCTCATGTCTATAGGCGACGGTTACCACTTTCCATCAGGTGAGCCGTCAGCTTGTTTGCCATTCTAAGTTGTATAAAAAAAAACACAAATAACAACAGACAAACAAACATAGAAAGCGAGATAAAAGAAATACATACATACATAATATTAATATGTTTAGTACCTTCAATGCAGGCGGAGGCTCTCGCGGCTGCGCGTCCGTTTCGCAAGCAATGTAAATCAGACACAAACACGCCATTAACGCGACAAACACACTTTGAGAACCACTCGAATAGACGAGGGGTGCTAAAACTGAGATTGACTAAGCCATTTTTTTAAAGGGTGATAATGGGATGGTAACCCCACCTACGCTATCGGTATACACAGGCGGGGCACCAGTGAAGGATGATAGGTGAGGACGAAGGGGCAATCACGTGGAGGTCGACCTAATAGAGTATATTGCTAGCAATGGGGCTGTCGAACTCCATTGCTAACAATCACTGTCTAATTAAAAAATAGACTCGAAGCGATTTTAACCCTCTTGCTTCGGGTCATTTAAATGCAATGCTACGAGTAGATACCGATGCCAAATTTAACAAAAAAAAAAGTAAATAAAAACAATGCTGTAAATATTTATAAAGTATAATTTCGTTTGACGTTACCAAAATATCAACTGGACGATTAGAGTCGTCAAGTAAAGTTTGTCGGGAAAAATTATGTATGGGGGCATAAAAATGTTAGAAAACACTGGTCTAGCCTAAGCGCTATAAACGCTTTCCAGCAGTCTATTAAAAGTTAATGTACCTGCAGAAGTCAGTGACGAGTTCTTAGACTATAATCATTATATATATATATATATATATATATATATATATATATATATATATATATATATATATATATATATATATATATATATATATATATATATATATACTATATATTTATATACTAACCTATCCTTTGATATTGCTCCTTATTGGGTTTGTGCTTGCTTCGCCTCGACTTGCTCTGGTCGAGGCAAGGGTTAGTAAGCGTGCGGACAAGCGAACGTGTTTTTATTGTTAGTTCTTCATATACATATATAATAAAGTAAATATTTCACTGAACTAGGTTTTATCTTACCAAAGTCCATATCGTTGGTTATTTGTTTAAAATTGTTTTGTTTAATTCCGCTACCATTAGTATGTGTGCGACTGCCAACACTCGAAGATTGACCAAGACTTTCCATATTAGCCATAAATTTCCTACTATCATTTTGATCACGCACGTTTTGCGTACAAAAAATCGTAGTTTGCCGAACGATTATCACTAGGCTCCGAGCAGCGATCTAATAATTTGAAGATGCCTTGTTTAGAGGTGAAACGACGCAAAACATGCGTGAACAAAATGGCAGTCGGAGATCAATGGCTAATCAGATAAATGGCTTCAGCCGTTAACTGTCCACTGCTGAACATAAGCCTTCCCCATAAAGGATGTTTTGCCAGTAGTTGGCACGCTTGTCAGGCGGGTTGGCAACCGTAGTTAGGCTTTTAGAGATATTTTAAGAAGGACGCTGCTGCCTATCCCTCGCCCTGGTGATAATAATGGTGGTGAATCTTCGAGTGTTGGCAGTCACACACATACTAATGGTAGCGGAATTAAACAAAACAATCCCAATTAAATAATCATAAATAAAAGTTATAATGTAATTCAGTACAGTGCATATAATAACAACGGCGAATTTGAAATCACTAGCCACTAATGTATTTTTTTTTAATCTACGTTTAATTCGGGATTTTTGTTCTTTAACATGTCAATCCCATAAAATCTAAACAAGTTTTCTACTATTATAATTATGACTAAACAATACTATTTACTAATTCACTTAAGCACTCAGCAATATTGGTAGTAGGAGCATGCGTTATGCTCTGAACAATTCCCACATCAAATTTATTAGTATTAAATGTTTTTAAAAATGTTTCCCTTTCCCTTCGGTCGCTATCACATTCCATCAACAGGTGCTGGACATCTTCAACTTTTCCACAGACAATGCAATTTGGTGAATTTTTTTTTTTTTTCATTAAATATGCAGTCACTAATGTATGCCATTGTATAAAAAAGAATTAAATAATACATAAGAGATAATTCCCAGTTACGTTTCTATCTCTTAATTTAATAGCAGATTTTCTTTTTTTATACAACTTAGAATGGCACCAAGCTGACGGCCCCCCTGATGGAAAGTGATAACCTTCGCCTATAGACATGAGCAGTACCGTGGACATAACAGAGCATACTGTTTCGCCCATGATACCCCCCCATGCGTTGTCATTCCTGAGGACTCGGGTGTTATTCCTCTGTACCCAGTAAATTCAGAAATGGTACTTTTAGAGTGTTCTGTATGTTTAAATGAAATTATTTATTTATTGCAATATAATAAATATATAAATAATTAGATATAAAAATTACGAGAGAATTTGAAGAAACTGGAGTCGATTCTGAGGTGCTAATACTGTAAATTTATTTATTTATTTAAATTTTAATGCATAGTAAAATTCTATGTACATATGGCGGACTTAACACAGGACGGCGTTCTCCAGTCGACCATTGGACGACCACCGTGTAATTTTTTTATATAAATTTTTACAATAATGACATAGATGTTATTTATACTAGTTACCTAGCAACCATCGCGAAGTACGCTACAATATCACAAAAGTAAATGGCGAAGGAGTGACGTACGACAATCTGAAACTGATAGCGTTCACGGGCTGTGTCGTTTCCCATAAGGCGGGTCGTATGGCTGTGACCACTGTTGAAGCATCTACATGCTCTTACCTCTGAATCATCGTCCAACAGTTCCTCCTCCACGACCTCAGCCCGGTACTCCAGTAGGAGATCCCTGAGCGGTTTGGAGTCCAGGTTGCCGGTGACGAACTCGTGTTTGAGGAGTTCCGTGGCCGTCGGCCTCTTCTCTGGGTCCTGTAATCGTAAAGTCACGAATCATTACTACTACTCGTGTTACGGTGGCGCCCTCTGTTGATAACAGTTTCTAAGCCGCCTTTGTTGTGCAGGAAGCAAATGACTGGGCTTACCTAATTTACTATGTCCATATATACCATATAAATACTATTTCATGCAGACTAAACCGCGGCATAAAGAGAATATTACCAGAGGGAGACTTTGTACAAAAATCGTATTCTTGGGTACCTCTGTCCCATTCGTATTTCAACCGTGAAGCAGTTGTGTTTGCATGGCTGTGTTTCGGTTTGAAGGGTGGGATATGGCAATGAATTTACACTGTACAGAGGAATAACACCTGAGTCCTCAGAAATGGTAACGCATGGCGGGTATAATGGGCGAAACAGTGTACTCTGTTATGTCCATGGTACTGCTCATGTCTATAGGCGAAATGGTAACGTATGGGGGGTATGGTGAGCGAAACAGCATACTCTGTTGTGTCCATAGTACTACTTATATCTATAGGCGACAGTTACCACTTTCCATCAGGTGGCCGTCAGCTTGTTTGCCATTCTAAGTTGCATAAAAAAAAATAAAAAAAAAATCACCTTAACAAGCGCCTTGGCAATGAAGTCATTGAACGATTTGCTCCACTTGGACGGCTGCTCGAGGGTGGGGGGATCGCTCTTCTGTATCTTGAGCAGCACCCGCATGGGGGTCATCTCGTGGTTGGGGGGCTCGATCTGGGCGAACTCTATTAGCGTTATACCCAACGACCAGATGTCCACCTGGAAAGGACGAAACAAAAATTATCTTACAGAATGTTCAATACAATTTAAAAAATATGTAAATTTAAAGAAATATAATTAAATATTGTCCGAATGGTCCCGGCATAGAATAGGCCTTCCCTTCCTCCCCCGTAGGTGCCGTAAGAGGCGACTAAATGGTGAAGGGATGGGCAGCAACATCCCTTTTAAAACATCTCTAAAAGCCTAACCGCGGTTGTCAAACCGCCTGCCAAGCGTGACAACTACTGGCAAAACTCCCCTTATGGGGAAGGCTAATGCCCAGCAGTGGACAGTTAACGGCTGAAATGATGATAAATAATAATTTAATATTGAGTTTCATAGAAAAATCTGGACTACAATAATGGAAAGAAAAACCGGTTATTATGATTTAAAAAATAAACTATTTTATTTAGATTTTCATAAAATTCCTATGAGACCAATTTGAAAGAAAAAATTTTTTCAGATAAAAAAAGAATTTTCAAAATTGGTTTAGAACTGACGGAGTTACGAGGTAATTAATGTAAAAAAAAAATACAACTGAATTTAGAACTTCCACCTTTTTTTAATTCGGTTAATTAAAAGAAGATTGAACTTTTTGTTCATAATATGAAAACTGGGTTGGCTGGAAGAGATCTGTTTCAGAGATAAGCCCTCCCTTGATAACGAGTTGTTAAACTAATCGCTATATATATATATATATATATATATATATATATATATATATATATATATATATATATATATATATATATATATATATATATATATATATATATATTCTTTATTGCACTTGAATAATACAGTTCATGTATATAAAAAAAAATTAGAGATCTACCTATCTACCCGTGCGAAGCCGGGACGGGTAGCTAGTAATAGCTTTTTTTCTTTTATTAAATAAGTAATTTTTTTTGCAAAAGCTTCTGCACCAAATCGCATATACAGTTTCAACATTTGTATTGCTAAATGTTTACTTTAAAATTAGATGTTTGCTAGCAAGTCACTTAGAAGCTGGGATCAAAATTTAAGCAAGAGTTATTTTAAAATTAGAAATTTAAATAAAAATGACTTGCATGTAGTGCATGCAGAGTCAATTCAAAAATATTTTTTGGATGCAGGATAACTCAGGACCTTGTGGCTGAATTATTGACTTGGTCAACGTAGTATTAAAACTTAGTGCTCAGACCGAAACCAAACGATAGCGTGTTTCAACATCAAACTAACGCCATCTAGTAGCGGACACATGATTTTAATTTTGCAGACATTTTTAAATTTTTTATGATTATTAATATTTATAATATTACATATGACTAATTATTGCCCCGAATATATTTATATGACTGTATAATATAGAGAATTTATATATATAAAAAAAAACTACTAACGGACCCCGGGAAATGTTTCACCCCCTTCCCCTATAGATCATAAATAATTAGATGGAAAACTATCCTATCTCTCAAGTTGAAGCAAACAATTAGAATTTTGTATTAAAAAAGGTGTTTTATATCATCATGATATAATTAATTACAATACTTCAATATGTTTACAATAATTATTCATAAATATAACAAGAACTCATCTATCATCACGCTGTCTCTGACGGGGTAAACATTAAAGTGTCTTACAAAACTGCCACTGACTGCAACGACTTCGCATTTTCTGTGATAACCCGACTTTTATTAGAAATTAAAACTTATTTTTCTTTTATTGCACTTTAAAAATAAATTAAAAATTATACAACGGTGTAAAAGTTCTAAAACACGACACTAGATGGTGTTGTAACAAATATAGAACATGGTAACGTTTCGTTACGAGGCGAATAATAATTCGTTGCAAACAAAACGAACCGCGGAAATCTAAACCAAAGCTCATAGAGGCCTTGGTTTCGATTACTCGGTTCTCTTGATTTTTGAACTGTGACCCTCTATACTAAATAGTATAGGTAACAGTCACAATTTATGTTATCCTTCGACCATCAAGTTGCCATAATCGCCTCTGACAAAAGGCTAGCCTTCCCTATGCCGTGACGAGGCCAAAATGATAGTCGTGATTTTTATCCTCACCTATCATCCTCCACCAATACCCTGATAGAGAAGGCGGAGCTGGCATTCAATCTTTATCTTGGAAGCCAAACCATACCTTGGAATTGTATGAATGCGATCTAACAACCCTGGTTCCTTAATATTGACATTTACATTATTTAAATTGCTCATTAAAGAATTATTTACCCTCATACCCTACAGCCTAAATGGTCGCGTACAGCGCGGTTTCAGAGATGTTTCCTCCCACGAACACTCAGGTTATGGAACGAACTCCCTGCCGAGGTTTTCCCAAGAGTCTACAGCATGAGGTTCTTCAAGAGGTTTCTTATGGGTCGGCTACGCGCGCGTAATATCTCTGGTATTGCAAGCTATGGTACACACTTACCATCAGGTGCCTTGTTTCTTGTTTGCGACCTCAGTGGTATAAAAAAAATATTGTCATAATTTTTGTAATGCGTACAATAATAGGAGGAAACAGTATAGTTGTTTCTACTAAGAAATAATAAATATGTTGACATATATACAAAGTAACTAGGTAGATTTTGTTGGTAGATGGGTTTCACGCCTCACCAGCAAATGCCGATAGCGCAGGCCTGGTTTACCATTTGATTATCATACATTAATAAAAGACATACCTTGAAATCGTAAGGGTTGTCCCTGAAGGTTTCGCAGAGTACCACCTCGGGCGCCATCCAGTATGGTGTGCCGATGAACGTGTCGTGCTTCTGCAGCGTCATCTTGTTCTTTGCCGACACGCCGAAGTCCGCTGCACAAGTATTATTAAATTAACTCTTTTTTGGGAATGAGTATTAAATATTATAATAAGATATCGAAAGATATTTTGGATGTCTTTTAATAAGTTTAAAACTGTTATTAAAAAACACTTATTGAACAAAGCCTATTACAAACTAAAGGATTACTTGAATGACAAACGTGCATGCCTATGTATGTTTAGATCTTTAAAACTATGCAACGGATTTTGATGCGTTTTTTTAATAGATAAAGTGACTTAAGAGGAAGGTTTATATGTATAATACATGCATAATATTGTAGAGAAACACTGATAATTTTAAAGGTTTCTAATGTGATGTCGTAAATAAATTTTCATTTTTTTACGCTTACATTGCAAACACTGGCTGAACCCTACAAGATAGTTCAAAATAATGCACTACAGTATTATACACCTTAAAAAGGTCTACAAAAAGTCCGCGATGGTATATGTCTATCTCTTAGGAATAACCCACAACAACAATTTTTTATCCTTTACTTTTCACGAAAAATAATCGCTTATTTACGAAGCGATTTTAAGCAATACAGCATTAATCCTTATCCAATTAAGCTTCTTATAAACATGTAACTGTGGAACCCTGTATTTGTTAATAATAAAGTTATTATTATTATTATTATTGTGCATTTAATATAGATCAATATGGCCCTTTACAGCATGTAATTTAAAAGAATATTTTCGAAGATATTACAGATTTAAAATGCAGGGACATAGCGGTTGCGGCAGTACCGACCGGGGGGCCGGCGACGCTATTTAAATTAAACTATAAATAAATGAAATGGTATCAATAAGGAGGGATACTTACCAAGTTTAACGCCACCAGGCATGGTCGCGAGCACGTTGCCCGCCTTCAGGTCCCTGTGGATCACCTTCCGCGAGTGGAGAAACTGAAGGCCGCGGCACATCTCGCGGCACACGTACGCTATTTGTGCCTCGTTCAGCCCCTTCTCGAGCTCGGCCATCACCGAGTCTAAGGCGCCGCCGTCGCAGTACTCCAGCAGCATCTGGAATCGGCATCGAAATCCTCACTGTAATATCATCGATGTCTTAACTAAAACAGCAACATCTATTATGGTATTACTGAATTAATCATAATCACAACCATAGACCAGTTATTTTGATTTAAAGGCCAAAGTACTGAATTCCTATGGGACCATGGACCATGGGTTCATAAATGACGGAGTTCTAAATTAACAAATATTGGCAATAGTGGTTTCATAATAATAGTAAAATGAGCGAAGTAATTTCGACCTTAGTACAACTCACATAGAATCCAACTCACCCACAACCTGTTGTAGATGAAGTACGCTTTGTGCAGCTCGATACTCGTAGCAAAACGTGCAATGTAATTTCGACCTCAACACAACACAATTAGAATCCAACTGACCTATAACTTGTTGTCATATAGCAAAACGTGCGAGGTAATTTCGACTTTAGTGCAAATCACTTAGAACTCAACTCACCCATAACTTGTTGTCGATGAAGTACGCCTCGTGGAGCTCCACTACATTGGGGTGCCGGCACTCGGTCAATATGTCGATCTCGACCGTGAAGTCAGCCAGGTCGTCTTCGTTGTCGAGCACGCATAGCTTCGCGGCCGCAAGCTGCCCGGTGGTCTTGTGTTGGGCTTTGTACACCTAGAGTTATAAATATGGTGGGATTGATGACTATTGATGTATTATACAGTTTGGAGGGCATTAATTACATCATCATCATCTAATCAGGCGTTAACTGTCCACTGCTGATCCATAGACTTCCCCCAAGAAAAGGCAAAAGAGGGTTTTGACAGTTGTAGCCACGCTTGGCAGGCGAGTTGGCAACCGCAGTTAGGTTTTTGATCATGTTTTAAGACGGACACTGTTGCCGGTCCTTCCATCATAAGCTCCCTTTGTTGTCGCCTCTTACGACCACCCACGGGAAAGGAAGGGGGTGGCCTATTCTACGCTGGGACCTATACAGCTCGTAATGTGTCTAGTGGTATACATTTTTTTTATACAACTTAGAATGGCAAACAAGCTGACGGCCCACCTGATTGAAAGTGGTAGCCGTCGCCTATAGACATGAGCAGTACCATAAACAGGCCACATGCGTTGCCTTTCCTGAGGACTCAGATGTCATTCCTCTGTACCCTGTAAATTCACTGTCACACCCCACTCTTCAAACCGAAACACAGCCATGCAAACACAACTGCTTTACGGTAGAAACACAAATGGGACAGAGATGCTCAAACAAACGACTTTTGTCCAATTTCCCTCTGGTACACGCCTAACACGAAAAGAACATTTGACAGCAGACAATATCATCATAGTTTACATAGGTCTTAAGGGACTGGATATTTAGACTAATATTTCTTTATAACACAGAGCATGCACGAGCAAAGCAGCTCACCTGATGGTAAGTAACTACCGCCGCCTATAAGCATCAACAGACACCACAACACCGGGAGAATTACAGGTGTGTAAACGGATTGTTTAAAAAAGGAATATGCTCTTTTCTTGAAGGTTACCATGTCGTATCCGTTCGGAAATACTGTGAACGCTCTATATAAGCAACATTCTTTATATTTTATTTATTCTACTCAACTTAGTAAAAGAAATAGGTAAAAATATTTACCAGACGGTAAGTATTTTTATACTCCTTTTTTCCCAATAAACAACTTTTCCCAATAAGAAACTTTTTTATTGAAAATGGTTCAAATGAGTTGCTTATATAGAGCGTTACCACTGCTGGAAGTCGATTCCAAAGCGCGGTTGTACGTAGAAGAAAGTGCCTTGAAAAACGCACGATGGAGGAGCGCCACTGATTCAGATGGTTGGGATGGAACTTTAGTTCGTGGCGGGCTGTACGATAGTGAAACTCAGCAGCAGGTATCAATTAACATCCTGGGGGATGTGCTAATATACCGGCGCATCCCCCGAGTGATAAGGTGAGCACGCCATCCACCCTATCTTGAGAGAGGAGACCTGCTCTTACCATCTGGAGGCGGGTCGCTGCCGTCGGAAATGTGGTGAGTGCGAAAGCCAACCCATGTCTCCGACATATGGCATCTCGAGGGTACATCGTCTGGTTTTTGGTGGGTACACCCCCACCTTACGGGGGGATTCTCACAGTACCCATTCACCTCCCACAAGGTGTATGGGTCTGCATAAAGCATTTTCCAGACATTAAAAAAAAAAAAACATGGCGGTTACCTTGCCGAAGGCGCCGTCCCCGAGCTCGCCCACCATGTCCCAGTTCTCCGTGGGGTCGCAGTTGTCGCGTATGTTCGCGAACACTTTCTTCTTTTTCGCGTCATTGCCGCTGCCTAGGTGTAACACCTGGTCATAAGAACGGGCCTAGTTAATAAAATTTTCTTTATATTCGTGAAGGTGCTTTATATTGATGGACTTCAACTAGCGGGGGTGAGTGGGGAAGGGATTGTTAGTAATGTGGACCACCAGGTCAGGTCGACCTTCACGTGGCTCAAAATTTGTAACCCAAAGTCTGTAAAACAATTTTTTTTCTTTTTTTTATATAATATTGTACAACAGACTAAGATGTTCGACAATAGATATCCGATCGATGTAAGCAATATCGATAACCGATTTTCGGCCATAAATGTCCAGCAGAACCCGATATATAGATGTCGGATTGGTACCCATATTACCCATGCCTAATGTCTAACTGTATTTATTAACTGTAGTTTAAAAAAGTATGTCCATTAGTCGTTTAATACCTATCGTACAGGGGGAAAGGGATTGTTAGTTATGGAGACTGAGAATTCCGTTGCTAGCAATATACCCAACCAGGTCGACCTCCTCGCTGTTCCCCCTGGAAACTATCATAGTTAATTCCTGATGAATTCATCACGATGGGCTAACTGGCCTGTTTTCATTCTCATCTATCACCCCTCACTGGTGCTCCGCCAGCGTATCCCATTAGCGCGGGCGGGGTTACCATACCATTTTCACAAACGAACTTAGCTTAGTTTAATACTATATGGGCGCTGAGGTATTTATTTATTTAATACTGTTCCTAGTTTTATATTGTTTTTGTTTCTTTTTCATTGTTACATGTGTCCTTAGAAGTGCAAATAAATAGTTAATCATTTATTTACCTTTTTTAGATTACTCAAGAACGACATGGTATGTGACGCGCGCCAGTCGGCGCGCGAGCGCCTCAACCGTCTTTACACATCTTGTCACTCTGCGGCACTAGATGGCATCACTGTAACAATACAATACACAATTTTGAAATATACGTTTCGTAAACACACACGCACACAAACACGTACGCACTCATCCACATACACGCACGCACGCACATACACAGACGCACACACGCTCACACGCACGCACCACACTAGTAAGTTATACAACGCAAAATAAACACAAAACCTACCCCCAACCCAAAGAACAAGGAATTACATAGAAGGAATGATAAAATAAAAACTGTAAATCATATGGTTGCCTCCTTTCTTCTTATGCAAATATAATTAGTAAAAAGAGGACGAAACATACACCATCAGTTGCTATTTTTCTCAATTCATAGCAGGCTAGTGTATAGAAAATATTTAATAAGTCAATGACAGATTTTACATTACTAGATTATACATTCGACACAGTTTATGTACAAAGTATGCAAGCAGGTTGTATCGGAATTTGGTAGGGTTATACGGCCGTGTAACATTTCGGCAATTTATCATTCCTTCTATGTTATTCCTTGTTCTTAGCCCCAAACAGTTGGTTATGAAACTAATTCAAAATCTATACTTATAATAAATCTGTAGAGAGGTCAATTCTGTACATGAAATATATTTACAAAATAACTATCAGGCGGTAATTAGTGATCGATACTGATGCCAAAAATGCAATCAGTAAAATTTTTGCCTGTCTGTCGTATATGTTCGTTATAGAAACAAAAACTACTCGACGGATTTTAACGAAACTTCATACAATTATTCTTCATACTCCCGGGCATGTTATAGTATACTTTTCATCACGCTACGATCGATAGGAGCAGAGCGGTGAAGGGAAAAGTTGGGAAAACGGGAGAAGTTACTGCATTTTTAAACTTCCGTCGCGTGTGCAGCCTTAATGGCTATTTTTTAAAATGTAAAAATATCCACCCGTGCGAAGCCGGGACGGGCCGCAAGTATACAATAAACACAGACACAGAACTAATTCTAATAACTTTTTTTTTTAAACTCACTTAAAATTCGAATATACATAATTGCAAGTGATAATTTTAATGAGCAATTAAATATGAAACAATGCCCGTATTGTTGCGGCCTTTTTGGACAACCTTGTCGCTTGTCCTTGCTAGATAGCGTTATCATTGATGCGCGAATGTAAACCTTAAAACAGATGAAATAAAGGCCAACGGCATACGGAGGAAATAACTGGTCGTATTTCACATATACATCCACGCCAGTGCCATCGTATGATTGGTGCCGGAAACTGTAGACTCTATTTAGACGTCTCGCTTTCCTCGCGCACCATCTGGCAAGGTGACATCTTACTAATACAATAAACTAGAAGGAAGGGATTGTTAGTAATGGAGACTGAGAATCCCATTGCTAGCAATATACCCAACCAGGTCGCCCTCTTCGCGGTTCCCCCTGGAAACTATCATGGTTAATTCCAGATGAATTCATCACGATGCGCTAACTGGCCTGTTCTCATTCTCATCTATCACCCTTCACTGGTGCTCCGCCAGCGTATCCCGTTACCGCAGGCGGAGCTTCCATTATCACCCATTAAAAAAATACAATAGAACTACCTTTTACCCGCGACTTCGTCCGCGTTACCAGGATATGTTTACTGACCGGAATATAAATACAATTTAATGATACCCGAATTAAAAACCTTTTTTTTTGAAGTCGGTTGATTACTACAAACGCACAATATAGTGTATTATTATTGAACGGTGTGGACTGCCGTACGGTGAGCGTGGACTGTAGGGGCGTTGGTTCAGGCTGGAGTGAAACACAGCGATTACTATTCTGAAGCCTCCGGTACCGTCTGAAGAGAGTATTTTTTCTTCTTGTCCTATTTCTTCTCGAGTGTAGTGCGTCGCTGCCCGGAAGCGAATGCCGCTCGACGAGAGGCGGCCTATCTTTATACCCGCCCGCTCGCACGATAACATTTCCAACTCGCGTTAGCGATCTGTGCGAGCGGGACGGGGCGAGAATGAACGAGACGCGTGTCTCTTCAGATCGGTACTCTATAGCGTCTATTTATTGCAATTTACAATTTCTTAATTCTATTTATTGTTACAATTTCTATTTCTATTCGTAGGTAATAATGACAACACACAAAGGAATACTTTATTTAACTTACACTATCTTAAATCTATGCAAATCTATATAAAATAACAGAATACAAAACGATTAACTAGGACTTAACAACTATAAATTACGATATATACAAATAATGTCGCGAACATAATCTCCCGCCGCAGCTCTCGTAGCTGGAGTTAACTCGTGTTCGCGTCGCTCGATGTCGATGTGGGCAGTATGATCAGCTTCTTAGTGGGTCGCCGTAGGATGCCCTTGTTCGTCCGCACGTCGACCGCTCGAACCTCGCCGTCTGGTCCAGGGTAGGTCGCCACCACCACGCCTCGCGGCCACGTGTTGCGAGGCAAGGTCCCATCAGCTATCAGGACCAGGTCGTCCATTTTGATGGCTCCGTGTGTAGCTCGGGGCTCCCGCCGGTGTTGCAACTCGGGTAGGTACTCCTTCACCCACCGGTTCCAGAAGCAGTCAGCTAGCCTCTGGCTGGCACGCCACTCCTTGTGTCCCGCCGCGTCGCTCTCTGTGAAGCTGCCTGGCAGTGGGACGCGCGATGGACCGCCCAATATGAAGTGATTGGGGGTTAGGGCGCTGTCGTCGTCTGCCGATGTTGACACGTGGGTTAGCGGTCGACTATTGAGGGTGTGCTCGACCTCGACCAGCAGAGTGTGGAGGACTTCTTCCTTGGGCGCCCGCTCGTTCAACGTAGCGGCTAGTGCGGTCTTCACGCTACGCACCAGCCGTTCCCATGCACCTCCCATGAAGGGTGCGCTCGGGGGAATGTAGCGCCACCGGATGAAATGAACTGATGACTCTTCTTGGATGGCTTCCTCGGCTGCTTTCTTCAGTTCGACGTCAGCACCTTTGAGGTTGGTGCCTTGGTCGGACCATAATTCCGTGGGACACCCTCTGCGGCTTATGAAGCGCCGCAGGGCCATTATGGCGGAGTCCGTGCTGAGGCTGCCGGCGATTTCTAGGTGGACTGCGCGCGTCGTTAGGCAGGTGAAGAGCACTCCGTATCGTTTCTGGTGAGTGCGGCCCACTGTCACGGTCATAGGCCCGAAGTAGTCTAGGCCGGTGAACGTGAACGGTCGTTGATGATGCGCCAACCTGCTATGTGGATGGTTGCCCGTTGATGGCTGCGCCGGTCTTGCTCTTCGTAGGCGGCACAGCTGACACCTCTTCAGTTCACTGCGGACGGCGTGTCGTAGGCGCAACACCCACAAGTGTTGTCGCACCTCGTTCGTGGTGATCTCGAAGCCGCCGTGGTGAAGTTTCCGATGCACCCATGCGATGTATAGGCGCACCCAGGCGTGGTTTCCGTCGACGATGGGGGTTCTCGTTGCTCGGCTGACAGATCGGCGGCGGCTGCTATTCTCGATCGAAGTCGCAGAATGTCGTCGTTGTCTATGACGACTGACAGCTGTATGAGTCGACTGGATGACGGCAGCTGTTTCCCTTGTTTCAATGCTGCGATTTCGTCGCCGAACGCCTCTTGTTGTATCGCGCGAATCCATAGCCGTCGCGCGCGATCGAGGTAGTGTGTGTCTATGGGGATGAAACACACAGATGGACTATTGCTGTTCTTGATTTTCATCTTCGTCTTCTCTCTATCGACTTTCTTCGTGCGGGTCCAAGTGGGGTCGGCGCTCTCTTTCTTCTTGTTTCTCTTTCGGATGGCGGTGCAGCGTTGACTGGTCGGTCGCAGGAGGTCGATGAACTGCAACACCCGTGCTGAACTGCGAACAAGTTTCAACCAATTAGAAAAACGTGACGGATCGGGTAATGCTATAGACAACTGCGTCGCGTTCTGTAGCTTGTGTACGCGTTCTTCTCCCGTTTCCGCTTGACTATCGTCGCTCGTACTATCTTCACGCGGCCACTGCTCTTCGTTTTTGTCGAAATTCCTTTCGACCGGTTGGAGACGTCGCATTACCGATTCATAGTTGTCCGGCGGCACAGGGTCGTCCTTCTTCCATAATAACCCCGTCTCGTATCCTCCCGCCGGTAACGGACGAGTTTTTTCTTCTAAAATGCGTAGGGCGCGACGTTCCTCTTCATTGTAAGACCTCTTCGGTGCGATCCCCAGCGATTCGAGCGCGAAATGTTGCTTCATCATTTCTTCCATCGATTGTTCCTCTTCATGTGTCGTCACTATGTGGCTGATTCTGTGCACCTGCTGTCTTGTCCTGCCGCGACTCGTACCGTGCAGTACCCATCCCAGGTCGGTGAGTGATGCGACCGGCTGCGTGTCGGATCCTCTTCTGACTTCGTGGGCCAGCAGTAGGTGCCAGTTGTCTTGCCCCAACAGTACCGTCGGTTTGCCCTCTTCATAGACCAATTCCCTCTCTATGTCCCGCAGATGTGGACAGCCCTTGATGACGCTGCGTGGTACCGACTGCGGTGATAACTGCAGTCTGTCCATCGTCCGTGCCCCCACTGTGTATTCTTGTGAATTCCGCCCGCGGATCTTGAAGTGAACACGCGTCGATTGAGCTGCGTTGATCCGTGCCCCGGCCACACCTTCCATGTAGAATGGTGCGGGGGGACCCGTAGCACCGATTCGCTCCGCCACCGCCGTCTCGATGATGGTGCAAGTCGACCCGTCGTCCAGTAGCGCGTAGGTGTCGCACGTTCCCGTGGGACCGGTGACTCGTATCGGCAGGATCTTCAGGAACGCGATCTTGTCGTTTTCCCTTGCCGATGCGGTGACTGCGGCGGACTTGTCCTCGATGACGTGTGTTGTCACTTCATTCTCCGGCTGTTGTCGCGTGGTGTGCAGCAGAGGGTGATGAGTCTGCGTGCACTCATCCACTCCACATCTCTTGCTCTTGCAGGCGTGGCGAAATCTTCTTACTTTGAGGCAACGGAAACACAGCCTATGAGTCTTCGCTAGCTCCCATCTCGCCGATGTGTCCGCTTCCTTCATCGTCTT